TGTGATATGGATTTTGCGGTGGCAATGCATGTGCTGCTGTTGAAGAATACCAAAGGCGTTTTCCCGATCGAAGGATTCCATCTCAAAGTGTATTTACGCGAATTCACCAGACATTGCATGATACTGGTTCCCTTCCGAGTGTTTCTGTGCACTCTGAAAGGGAGGATGTACGAATGAGAAACACACGAGCGAACATTCTTGAGATGGTTCAGAAAAGTCTGTGTCTGTCCACTTGTAGAATGACCTCTCACGTCAGCGTATCACATATGCAGGTGTGGCGAACTTTACATGATGAAGAGTTGTATCCTTACCATGATCAAAGCGTACATCTGGAACCAGGCGACCATGCTCAGTGTATGGATTTGTGCCACTGGATAAAAGCTCATCCTGAACTGTTAAGCGTCATTTTATTCAGTGATGAGGCGTCTTTTACCATGTATGTTGTAAATAATTTACAAAATGTGCATACGTGGTCCCATAATAATCCACATGAGATAGTCGTAACAAAATTCCAAAAGAGATTTTCTGTGAATGTATGATGTGGTGTGCTTGGGAACAAGTTGATTGGGCCTTTTGTGTTTCACTACAATTTAACTGAAAACACGTATGAAGCCTTCCTGAGGAATGAGTTACCATGTTTGTTGGAAGACATCCCGTTAACGATAAGGAGCCAAATGTACTTCCAACATGATGGGGCTCCCCCACATTACACTCAGCATGTGAGACACTACTTAGATGAATCCTTCCCTAACCGCTGGTTAGGTTGTGGTGGGCCCGTTGCATGGCATGTTACGTCAGCGCTTGCCATTTATGTGTCATGTATAGTGCATGGAAACCTAAGGACAACTATGACATGGCGTGCAAGTTTTTTTGTAGTTCAATTTAATGGCTTCATGTCACTCACAATTTAGTTTGATGTTACATACATTATTAACATTACAGACACCACATATTCCTGCCAGTTTTAATATGTATTTGGTAATCAACAAGTGTGTAACACCTGTCAAAGTTTCACACTTCTCTGGCCATTATCTCCATAATCGTTCACCTTTGGACATAGGTGTTTTGTGTTATATATAGGCATACTTTAACATAAGGAACACCCTCCTGAAGTCTGCCACATTCCTCCAAGGACACCCTGTATAAATTGTATTCTAGTTGATTGCTACACATTTTAATCCTATAAAGATTAAATTTCTGCTAAATAATATATAAATTCAGTTTGTACCTCACAGGAAACACATTGCCTCAGCTACATAGACCAACAGGTTAATGCTGTTAAGAGAAAGAATCACTCCTTCATGTGAGAACCATAAGAAACACATATAATTCTATGGGCAAAATACAGAATTTTAGGATGTTAAAGCAGGTGTTACATATAGTAATCACAGGTTTTTGAAGGATTAACCTTCCCGTTCTATTCTTTCCCTTTGTCCTATAGAGTATTCTGCATATGTTTTGTCGATAACCAGGTTTGCTGATGTCTTGTTAATATTATGAGTGTTTTCATTCATATGGGAATTTCAGAAATCACAGTCCAGAACAGAAATATGCGAACAGATATTGGCCATGACTGTAGTATTTTGGACACAGTTTATTTTTTAAGAGTTGCTGATTGTAAGGGGTAATATTATGTTTGTTTTCTTTCTGTATTCTTGGGACTGAAGAAACATTACTGGAAAGGCAACATTCCATTTGCCTGTAATTTTGGTTATGTTTTAGAAAGGTTTCAGTGTTCTTATTTTTATCTTTAGGAAACTAATTATGCTTGTGTTGTTCGGCTTCCTGCTGGCGAGTTTGCTAGAATCTGCAGAGATCTGAGTCAGTTTGGTGAATCTGTTGTTATTTCTTGCACAAAGGAAGGAGTGAAATTCTCTTCTACTGGTGACATTGGTTCAGGTAAATGTGTAGAACATGTCAAGATTATGACCAGAACTACTGAGTTGAACATTATACATGTATAATGTTTTTATTTTTCTCTGATAAACTGAATAAAAATTTTCGTATTGACTATGGTACTGTAGTACTCGTATTTAGTTGAAAAAAAATGTTTGCTGGTAGAGTGAATGTGAGTGAATCAGAAACTGTATGTGTGCCAATAATTACTTGAATCTGAGACAACAGTTTTCCCTTACATATGCAATTGAAATATGAAGGATTGTTATGATTTATGTTCTGAAATATCAGTAGTACTATGCAAATACGTGACAGTTAAATTACTGGCAGGAGACTGGATTAACAAGTTTGATTCAAAGTAGGAGAAAGAGTTTGTCCTTTTGCCACCACTTTCAAAGGAGGTCTGGGTCATGACCAACCTGCTGTCCACTGTCTACAGCAAGCCCTCTCTTCACTGGTAAATGAGACTTAATATAAAACTGATCATTTTGTGCTCATGTCTAGAATATTGTCACATGTAAGGCTGACTAGACGAGGTTTGGATTTGTGAATAGGTTTATTGCCCACTTAACAGGTCGTAACTAAAAATAACTGTAACACAATTTCCACACTGTACAGTTCACTAGAACACACAGTCTTAGTGTTCTCAGTCTGTTACTAGACATTTCCTGGTAACGGCTCCGACAGTGGAGATTCTTCAGCTTCGTGTACTCAAGTCCTCTCTTCACAGACTCCCGTACAGAACTAATTAAGCTGTAACCTTGTCCCTTGCTTATAACATCTCAGCATGGACCACATAGAAACACAGCTCTTCAATTGTGTCTGGATTTGTTGCTGCAGAGGTGTGTTTACCGTATCGTTGCATAGCAGCGGCTGCGGTGTAGACTGCAGAAAACACCGCTCCTATGTTGCATTCATGTCTGTCACTGTGGGAACGTGTTTACCAAGTTGTTGCCTAGAAATGGCTCTGGTATATCCGCCCATGTCACAGTCATTACATAGCAGTGGCTCTGCACACTGTAATACTTAGTCCCATATGCCCTGTACATATTCGTGACATAGTGCTTCGACAAGTTCCCCTGCATTCACTGTATATGTTGTATCATTTCACACCTACTTTGCAGATATTCATGCCGTTTTCTTGTATTTTTCTCCATACATTTTATAGAGATGTAAAACTGATTCTTTCAGTCATTACTGACAGACGTAGCATTTGAATATAGAGTCTGTGTATAATTTTCATATGCTTTCAGGCCACTTTTATAATTAAACCTTGCCATCCAACCCACATCATCAGTAGAAGGAAACAAAATTGAGGTGGAGTAAAATAACAGCTGTTATTGTCTGAATTTACAAAAATTGCTCATTTAACCCTGGACTGGGAGGACATTCCAAAGACCACAAAGTGCACTGAAAATTTGTTCCTGAAACTTAAAAAAAAAATTGGCACTTACTTTGGAACTTAACAAGCGTTTGTTTCAATGTGATATTTGCAGTCTTGTCTCTTGATAGGCATTATAGCCACATGGTATGCATTGTGCAGAATGTATAAACTGTATTTATCCAAAAATGAGGTATTCTTCCCTTTTCAGAACTTAGATTCATGGAAGAATAATTTTGTTATATTTTAGCGTCCTGTTGCACTGATTTAAGTCCATGATTTATTTTAACCATCTTCCAGTGCATACACTCATCTATCTCCTCCTCTCACTCGCACTACATGTTTCGGCACAAAAGTGCCATCTTCAGGTGCTTATTCAATTTATGCTAAACTAGTTCATTGCATGTCTTGTCTTCATATTAAAATAACTAAAATATATATTTATCATATATATTGATAAATGTTAAATGTTAAAAATATTAAAATTGTTCAGGAATTTTTTCTNAAATTCCTGAACAATTTTAATATTTTTAACATTTAACATTTATCAATATATATGATAAATATATATTTTAGTTATTTTAATATGAAGACAAGGCATGCAATGAACTAGTTTAGCGTAAATTGAATAAGCACCTGAAGATGGCACTTTTGTGCCGAAACATGTAGTGCGAGTGAGAGGAGGAGATAGATGAGTGTATGCACTGGAAGACGGTTAAAATAAATCATGAAGAATAATTTCTTTACTTTTCAAATACAAAATTAAAGTTTTCCCCAGGCATTTTTTCAGCAGATTGCTTCTGCACAAAATCAGTGTATCTGTTGCCTTCTCGAAAGACGTGCTCAACAAGAAAAACACATTCCTCAATTGAAAGAACCATAGTGAGTAAAAACTGAATTAAACAAACACTTCACCAGCATTGCACTTCAACAACTGAATACAATGAAATATCAGACAACAGCAGCATACTTCAGTGTCATCTTCAATACTGACAACCGACTGTAACCAGTGTGCTGCAGTGTACCATAGCCTAAGTGCACTGACTTTCTGAACACACTGTGTATGTAGTTATGAAGTAACATACACATTTCAGCCACATCTATAAATAGTGACACTGTTCATACTCAAAGCATTGTACTACAAGTGCTTGTACATTGTACTTGGAACTTTGTGTTATTCTGTGATGTAAACATCAGCCCATCTGGCTGAACTGTATTTCAGTGTTCATGAGTATATGACTTGTAAATTCTGTTGATCTTGTGTAGCTAACATCAAGTTGGCACAAACTAGCAATGTTGATAAAGAAGAGCTTGCAGTCACCATTGAAATGGAAGAGCCTGTAACACTGACCTTTGCATCAAGATACCTTAATTCATTCACCAAGGCAACATCTCTCTCTAATGTGGTAAGTCCCCTCAGTTTTGTCAGATTTTAGTTTGTATGCTAAACCCTTGATGTCTAAATGGTCACTTCAGAGACCAGTGCATTTAATCTTGATTAATAACTGTAAGTGATCAGATACTTATACATGACTCTGGTGACCAAAACAGAATTTGAAGCACCTAAGTACTATTGTAAACATTAGGCTACTTTGTCAGTATGTGTCTGATACATTTTCTATATTCTCAGTAGTTGGCAGAGATATTCCCTGTATCAGTTTTGCCATCTTTTATAGTTGGAAAACATGAAATGAAATTCTTCATCCAACCTATGTGAACTTCTGGGGTGTGTCGTTTTCCTTGTTATACCAAATATTTGGTGGTGGTCTGTGCTGAGTATTTAATTGCAGACGTTTTCAAGGTTGGAAGATTCCCAGGTGACTACAGATTTTATCATGGTGCCCAGTATTTAAACATACTTTCTTTCAGAATGAAGTAGTATTACATCAGTCTTTGTCAGCTTGAGTCCAGAATTCCATTTCTTAATATTTATGGTTTCAGCAGCTGAGAGTAACTTCCTCCCCTTGTTTATGAAGTCGCTGAGAAAAACAGCTGTTACAAGAGTCCAGAACCGTAAGCGTGTCTCTGGGTTTCCTAGGTTCTACTCATAGTTTTGTTTTGCATACAGAAATGAACTTAACCTTTATCAATGAATGTTATATATATCTACAGCAAGCAGTACCCCGCTATGGCCAAATGTTATATTTATATGAGGCAGGATACTGCTCCCTTTGGGAGTGCTGACAGTTTGACCTTGGGTTTGAAACCAAATCGAACCCACGCAAGGTCATGTCAGAGGTTGATAAGTTAGCTCTGAACAATGAGATCGTTTATCTTGGTCCTGGTTTCGAAACTATTTACATCTATATATGACTGTTTATGACCTGGTCAGCCAAAAACAGCCCAGCTTTGTTTCGAGAACTGATGAGGAAATATTCTTCTGTGCTTGCATGTGAGTGCTTCCAGAGCCTTCAAGGGAATGTGACACATGCAAGGATTGGTTTTCAGTGGCGAATTATCAGTCAGGAAGTCAGTGTCGGATTGTCTAATATTTCTTTATCAGTCAGGAAGTCAGTGTTGGATTGTCTAATATTTCTTTATCAGTTAAAAAGTCAGTGTCAGACTGTCATATATTTCTTTATATATCATTTTTATTTTGTGTCTTGGAAGAGGTATAAACCCACTGAGCCAGTATTACTTTGTGAGTAAAGGCATTATCGCCACTGCGACTTTCAGTATGTGTCGGACTGGCACTCTTTTCGACTACTATTATAATTACTTTGCATCACTATTTTGCGAGTATTACCAACAGGTGAGAGTGTCACTTTGTCAATCAACATAATTTATTCTGGGGGAGGCCAAGGTTATCTGGGTCCCAACTGNTAAGTTAGCTCTGAACAATGAGATCGTTTATCTTGGTCCTGGTTTCGAAACTATTTACATCTATATATGACTGTTTATGACCTGGTCAGCCAAAAACAGCCCAGCTTTGTTTCGAGAACTGATGAGGAAATATTCTTCTGTGCTTGCATGTGAGTGCTTCCAGAGCCTTCAAGGGAATGTGACACATGCAAGGATTGGTTTTCAGTGGCGAATTATCAGTCAGGAAGTCAGTGTCGGATTGTCTAATATTTCTTTATCAGTCAGGAAGTCAGTGTTGGATTGTCTAATATTTCTTTATCAGTTAAAAAGTCAGTGTCAGACTGTCATATATTTCTTTATATATCATTTTTATTTTGTGTCTTGGAAGAGGTATAAACCCACTGAGCCAGTATTACTTTGTGAGTAAAGGCATTATCGCCACTGCGACTTTCAGTATGTGTCGGACTGGCACTCTTTTCGACTACTATTATAATTACTTTGCATCACTATTTTGCGAGTATTACCAACAGGTGAGAGTGTCACTTTGTCAATCAACATAATTTATTCTGGGGGAGGCCAAGGTTATCTGGGTCCCAACTGAGTCGACCAGAGGTGAAACATTCACAACACTGGCCAACCAAAGGGGAACGAAGACATCATGTGTGTTTGCTAAATAAGAAAAACAGGAGCACCATTTTCTATTGTAAAAAGTGTGATGTTGCGCTGTGTGTCGCAGACTGCTTCGAGAAGTGGCACGCACATCAGAGTGTGAGGTATTATAAACTGTGAAGTAACGCAGTTCAAACTCGCGTACAGTCTGAACAAAATATTATTGTATATAGTGTGATTATATTTACAATATCACCCACTCTCAAGGTTGAAAAAAAACTACAGGTAAGTCCTCTGGAATTTCATAACATAATAAAGATTATATTTTGCATTTCATGACAAAATAATCACATTAATTGTGTTTGTAAAAATTGCTCTTTTGTGTATATGTAGAAAATTTTATTGTCCTTCAGGTTGTTTTTAGTTCGTATTTCTGTGTTGCATAGAATGGAAAATATGTAGTTTTCCTGAAAGTTTGTAATGTTGAAGACTTAGGACAATTTAAATTCCAGCCACATAGGGCTGCCAGCAATTTAAAAAGCCATATGTTAAAGGTTAAAGGACATTTTTTATGTAGGAAGTAGAACTGGGTTTTCAGTTTCAGTGTAGCCTCAGAGGGAACAACATAAAGCATTTGTGGTAACTATTACATCTAGGAGCTTCAGTTATGGCTGGTTGGAATCGATTACATACTCCTTTATATGTATAATCTTGCTTATTAATGTTGCATACCCACTTACTTGGATCCATATCCTTTAATTCCCCATTCACATATTTCCTTGTCTGCATTTGAAGAAACATGGTTACAAGATAAATCATGTAAGTTAGAAGATGATTTTTCTGGTGGTTTTACTTGCTTCATAAGGTGAATCATTTGAAATTTGGTTGATTTGTAATTCAGAATCTGTCTATGTATTGATTGGATTTTCTGCAGTCCAGAATGTAAGTTATTATGTTGAATAATTGAACTTGTTTCTCTTCTAGGTTCAGCTGTCCATGTCTCCTGATGTTCCTTTGGTAGTGGAGTACAGAATCGGGGACATTGGGCACATCAGATATTATCTTGCTCCCAAAATTGAAGATGAGGATAACAATTAAATTTTCTGTTCTTTTATCATAATTGGTCAGAATCTCATTCCATGGAAGGTGAATATGAACAGAATGTCACTTTTACATCAGCTTTTACCAGCAAATTGCACCTATTTTAAATGAAGTAGATGCACCAAAATTCATTGCATGTATTTAGTGACCAGAAGAGGCGAGCATTCTCTCTCGGATATGTCACATCAAATAAATGATTGATCAGCAAGGGTACACTAGCAGAAAGTGACTGCGAATAATAAAATTGATGCAGTATAGTTTCTTCTTGATTGCTGACAGTACTCTCCTGAATGCGTACTGCTGTATGCTTTGCTTTAAGGAAAAGAAAGCTGTTTGAAAGGTCATGTGAACAGTATACAGTTTCTGTTTGTAACAGCCTTAGTGTATTTTTAATTGTTTTTGTGTTTATGAATTTGTGGTGTAATTACAAGGACAGAATATACAGTACTACTATAATTATGGATTAGAAAACAAGCATTGGTAACGAATAAAATTGCATAATTTATTTAATGTGCGAAGGAATTTTTATACATGCTAAGTTTCACAATGAAAAATTAGCCATAAATATTGCAAAATATTATTAATGTTTATTATGAGAACATTCCTCCAGCCATACTTCTCTGTAGCTGGGAGTGCTGTGAGGGTACTAGATATAATTCTGATACACCCAGATGTTACATTCACTTTGCAGTAAATGTAGTAATTTTCCAAAACGAATCTAAGATCATGAAAAATGATTGAACCTAAAGATAACCCTCTCCCCCTAACTGAGAAACATGTCTCACATTGAATGATTTTATTACTGTCTTCATTCCCAATGTCATCTTCAGTGTATTATCTTTTCTTGGCAAATTACTACTTCCAGTTTATGGCTTCAGTAGTACTTCAGGAAAACTCATGGCAGCTCACGGCTTCTGGCCCTGATATATTTCTTTCTTGTGTTGATTTTGGTGGTACTTCGTACAAACGTAATTCTTGGCTCTTGGCCCCGGTCTCACTTAGTACACTGGCATAAGGTACAAGTGTTAACACACATCTTAAAAAGACTTTAATCCACTAAGAACTGAAAACACTGATATACAAGGTGTTTCATGACCATGCCAGTACTCCAGGAACTTATTCCTGAGGCTGTTCCACATTAGAAATGTCATGAACATGCATCAGATTTGCAAGTCATAAAACTATAAGCACTTCAAGTTCAAAAATGATTTACACATAACTATACTATTTTAAGAAACAAATTCTTACATTGTAAAGTTGACAATAGATATTCAAAGTGACTACCATAGCTCTATGACAACTGAGAATCTGACCTGTGTTCGTATGACATTTCTGAATGGGAATGGTTTCAAGAATAAATTCCTGAAACGCTATATTTCACACATACAAAAGACTACTCTTCTTAATTAACTCAGAAAATAATGGAAAAGAAAAGGCTCCTCTTTGAGTAAATATGATTCATTGGTTAATTTTATTTGCATTTCTCCATATTTGATACAAATTGTCCAGAATGCTCTTTTTGCATTTAACTTTGTATTTATTCAGTCTTCACAATATTCTCTTCTAGAGTACAGTCATAAGTACTATTTCTGTAGTAACAATAAATACCTGAATACAAATGACATTACATCTTGATTTATGAACTTGCATTATTGAAACAAGTCAGTAGAAAGTCAGTTATTTAAGGGAAGCACCCTGGTGAAAGTTTAAGTATTTACTTGACTTTAAGATGTTGAGTACATGTTGTACAAGTACTTTGTTGCTATAAATGTGTTCATATCTGCATCCTGGTTTAATGACTGTAAAGTTGGGTATACACATCTAATTTTAGTGGCATGTCTAATATACTAAGTCTTAAGCAGTTAAACATGAAATAGAAATATCCTTTAACATCATCTCCAGTTTGAAAAATTTGTGAACTGGATTGATAATGGCTACTTCCCTTTGTTATTCTCCATACGAAAAATATAAAATGTGTTGTGTTCATAGACCGATTTTATATTAAATTTGTCACAAGTTTGGAATGCAGTAACCCAAATTAAGTACCTTGGTTACAGTGGTTCATCAGGTTTTGGTAAATCATAATTCATGTGGTTACTGTGTTTTTATCTCTTTGTTAAATGTATCCAAAAATAACTCTAAATTAGTACTTATTCAAACATATATGATACAGAAGAAAGCAAGTCTTCTGGGATTTGGCACCGTGTATATGTGGTGTTAACCGACGTTTCGGAGGAACGTATCGCCTCCATCTTCAGGGTAGAAGGGAAATATATAAGAAATCAGCAAGCGAAGAGACCGTGAGAACCGGTAAAAGCAGACTGCTTCTCTCTTCGCTTGCGGATTTCTTATATATTTCCCTTCTGCCCTGAAGATGGAGGCGATACGTTCCTCCGAAACGTCGGTTAACACCACATATACACGGTCCCAAATCCCAGAAGACTGCTTTCTTCATAGTCACCGCCATGAAAGCCTCAAACCATACATATATGATACAGTGTTGTTTCTTTTAGTTGAGAAATTTCATGGTTGAAAAGTTTGCTATTATTAATGGCCAAGGTGGAGAGAACATGGTCATCATTACGTTAGGAAATGGGCTGTAAAGAATTTTGTACATGCAAGGAAGCAGTCTTCTGGGTGGTGGCACCGTGTAGATATTGTGTTAACAGATGTTTCAGAGGATACGTTCCTCTGAAACATCAGTTAACACAATGTCTACATGGCACCACCACCGAGATGACTGTTTTCTCCATAGTCACTGCAGTGAAAACCTCAAATCTTATAATTTTGTACATTTTTTTTTAATTCAGCAGCACCTATAGTTTGTTCACCACTTGAATCATGTGTGATGAAAATTGGAAAATCTGAACTTGAATTCAACTTTGAAAACATTTTGCACTTGACCATTATCTTTGTTCTGGAATGAGGACCCACTTTGTCATCCCTCTCCTGTCATGGGGTCTTCATCACAGTGATGAATACTGCTGTTTAAGAGAAACACATCTCACAATCAAGTAAGCAATATATAGTTTCACATCAACTGCAGGAATCAAGTATGATCATTACGATACCAATAAGATTTTGAAGTTCTCACAGCAGTGAGAATGACGACAATGGCCTTTAGGATGCAACAAAGCATTTCATAAGAAGACCATAATCTTAATACATTTCTCACATTCACACAATTACTACTAATAATATGAAGGGCTACTATAGGCTATTTTACAGACAGTTTCAAGTATGAACAGAATTTTCTGTGTAATCCTAATATGACCTAGATTTGTCAATATGCATGCACCCCAGACTAGATGATTCAGTTCCCAAAAGGGATGTACATTTTCCTCCTACATGAAAATCAGGAGAGCCTGTCTTTTGAAAATTATTCTATATATGTTTTTCTGCCAGGCAACAAATGGACAGTGCCAAAAGAAAACGGTCACCAGCAGGTCAAAGTACAGTGGACTCATCTTCCACAGTGTATGTGTACAAATTGCTGTTACTGTTTTTATATGCTCTGATTTTCTTAGTATTATGCAGCATAAAAATTGTTTATTGAAAATAATATGTCAAAGACTAGAATAGACTCCATCCTCAAGTAGAAAGCCCACTCAGTTGGGCTTTCTAACTGATTTTCTTGGAGAACAAAGATGTATTTCTCTATAGAAGTCAACAAAGTAGTAGTACAATATGATAAATACTCTTTTGGTAAAAAAATTAAAACTAATTCTTCAAATGTGGAGTCACAGCTCTGCTGAAACTGCTAAATTACTCTGCAACAACTTCATATAATATCCTTAAAATAATAGGACCATCATTTTTTTTTACATTATATCAGTAATTAACTTGTTCCCTGGGTTTGACATCCAGAGCTTCTGACCTAGTTCCCTCATTTTATAAAAAAAAGATGGTTATATTAACCTGTCACACTCCCCTAATAACCTTCCAATAGATTTCCTGATTTTTGTGAAATTTCATAGCAACATACCACTAGACGTCACTCCATCTTCACACTAGGTACTACTGACCTATGATGAATAAACTTATAAATATCAAATATGATAAAAATTTGACTAACTGTTCACACACATTTATACATGCAGACAAACGGAAATCTAAAAACGTTTTCTGTATTCATGGAGCTTGACACATGCAGAACCATCAAAATCTTGAGACTGCCGTTTTTCACGATCGCAGTACTTTCTCACATATACTACATATATTAAAAAGTAAAAATTCAGTTTTTATAGAGGTCGTAGTTTTGTAGAATGGGGAATAACTTGGTCACATTATTTTTTTTAATTACATATAACTGTGCAAAACTTGAAAGGTGTATATGAAAAAAATTAACATGGGTGAAATTATTATTGAAGAAATTTATGTACAACATGGAATAAGTCATTTATACAATTCTAAATGTATAGTTCCAGATATTTAAACTCTGAAGGAAAGTAAGCAGTATAAGTTCTTCTTGGAACTTTGTTTATAATGTTACTGACATCTACGAGACAGTATTTAGACTACAAGAAATTGGAAATGAAAAGATCATATTGTGTAATTGGATACAGTTTGGATTCATTTTAAGTCCCCTGAAATGGTCTGCCATGCTATGGTGGCATTTAAATACCTAGTGTGTTAAGGGAAGTAATAAATTCCATTTGTTTGCTGCATAATCAAATGAAGATCACTCAACTGTGGAAGGGCTGACTATGCGGTCATGTAACGTGCGTAAATGACGCAGCAAATTGCTTTTAACATTGAAACCTTTACCACACACAGCACAGACATAAGGTTTTTCTCCAGTATGAGTGCGCCGATGAATTAGCATAGAAGCATGAGATGGGAATGTTTTGCTACAAATCTGGCAACGTTTGCGGCCACCTCGTCTCAACCTAGAAGCATGTGCTGAAGAGTTATTGCTGATTGCCAGCTGTTCTTCAGTATGAGATGTCTGAATGTGACGCACCCAATCAGCAGGGCTGGTAAATACCTGCTGACAAAGTTCGCATCTCAAAGGTGGAAATTCTGCATATGCCTGTTGATTGACACTGCTTCCATTCTCTAGGCCCTGAAGTATATGAGATAATACAATATGTTAGTTTAATTGCCTTTGATTCTTAGATCATAGAGTAATGTTATTGTGTGTGCAGAAGTTATAGCAAAAACTGCACAATCTAGCACTCCAGAAAATTCTTTTAGCCGTAACTACTGCCAGGGTTATCAATGCAAGTACAGTGAAACCTCACTAATTCAGATTTTGTGATAATCAGGACTGTTTTTCTTTGTGCATTACAACCCTGATGACATTGCTGTGATCAGCAATCACAAACTGCCACATGTAGCGGTAGCATAATGACAGTAGATGCATGTAGGCCTCATGGCAAACATCAAGGCCTTTTTAAAACAGATTTTCTTCTTTAAACATGGTCTCAATAATACTAAATATGTGGGCGACCTAAAATGTTTTAGACTGATGTCAAAACATTTTACAACAAATTTATTTTATGATTATGCAATGCAAATTTCAAAATAAAGGACTGCTTAAAAGACACATTAAGTATATTTTATAACTTCCCTGAACATATTTTCAGTGGCACTTGTGTAATTCACACATGCTAATTTGGACAAGGGTTTGCTCCCAATTATGCCAAATTATGTATGTCTTAACATTTTATTTAAACGTACAGTGAATTCTAAAGACAAAATTGCAGGCATTAAAAGCTTCTCTTACAAAAAGAAAAGATAAATAGTTCATGAACTCAACAACTAACTCATACACAAAGAACAGGGACTAAGGAGGCAATATCGTAATAATATCAAGTTCCTACTGTACAATGCTCATGAATTCGAATCTGATTCCAGTCAGAACTTAGCATCAATACAATAAACTGACTGCAGGTTACAAAAGTTACCCGAGACTGCCTTCCTGCATTTTGTTTAAACGTACAGTGAATTCTAAAGACAAAATTGCAGGAGTTAAAAGCTTCTCTTACCAAAAGAAATGATAAATAGTTCATGAACTCAACAACTAACTCATACACAAAGAACAGGGACTAAGGAGGCAATATCATAATAATATCAAGTTCCTACTCTACAATGCTCATGAATTTGAATCTGTTTCCAGTCAGAACTTAGCATCAATACAACAAACTGACTGCAGGTTACAAAAGTTACCCGAGACTGCCTTCCTGCACGTCTGCCACGTTGTTGCTGCTGGTTCTCTGGATGCGCCTCAATGTGCCGCACCCATTCAGCAGGTGTAGTGAACATTTTCTGACAGAGATCACAACTAAGAGGAGAATACAGTGCCCCATCATCATCATCATCATCATCTTCACCATCACAACCTGTAGCGTGGAAGATTTCCTGCAAGTCCATTAAAGGGGGGCACAATGGTTGAAGGAAGATAGGAACATGGACTCCAGTCCCATAGCAGTTGATAGAGTAACTTGCTTTTTAAAACCTTTAAAAATTTTAAACATTGAAATCTCTTATACATCACTGGTGTACGCACACTACGTTTCAACCAACATTGTTTACATCCACATCTCTAAAATTGCTGAAGAAACTGCTGTGCTTCCATCTATAAGTTCAAGTTTTGGGACAACGGCTACACAACACAATAAGAGGAACTACCCACCCCCATAGGACAGTGGCACATAAGTCACGAGATTTTAATGTGTAAAACTTTTAAGGTTTTAAAAAGCAAGTTGCATGTGAGACTGCTAATAACCAACAGGAATAAATAAGAGATATGCAAGAGGATATTATGGTGCAGTAATCTGTAGTGTGATAAATCAATTCATGTTTATCATCACATTTTAATCATTCAAATGGACCTCTCTGCAACAGAGTTCTCATTCTGGACTACTTTTAAAAGTGGCATAAATGTTCGCTTTGTGAATGCATGACTGATCTCTTCTACCTCCCTTCTCTCTCTTTGGCCCCCAGCAGCATATTCTCAGAACAGTATATCATTTATTCTTCGCTTCCAGTAATGGACCATGTTTAAATTATGGACTACTTTCTGAGAGATCAGAAACCCTCCATGTTTTTCAGTAAATGTACAGGGTTTTACCATTGTAAAGATACCTGCACAAATTCCTGCTTCAGTCTTTTTCATTTGTAAAGAAATTTGTTGGTTATTGAGAGCATGAAAATAAACTTTTGTTGATGGGATTAAACATGTCCAGAATTCATGCTCAACAATGAACAGATGCATTTTCCTCGTGCTTATTTTGAAAATATGCTACTTGATTTGCTGACATAACTAATGACCAGTAGCAATAAACATACATTTACACAGTGATTGGAAGGACGTGTAAACAGTCGACTACTCTCACCAGAATAAAAATTTAGTCTTCCTGCAAAGTGGATTCCTGAAATATACATGTAGGGTTCCAGAAATACATACTGACAAATGTTCCAGTTAATGGTGATTTGCGGTGGGGTGGGGGGTGGGGTGAAGGCTTGCCGCTGATATTAATCAGAATATACTGAGTGTATTTAGGGGTCCTCAAAACAGGTGGAGTATACTGGTCACTATATAAGATCACAGTCTTCTAGGGCACATCCAAGAAGACTGAATTTTAATATTTACTACTGTGAGAACACTGAATCTCATATGGTTACTATTTCTTTATACTTACAGGCTTGATTGTCATCTCAGTATGCATCTGATCATCACTATCATGTGTCACTGCCAATGGCATTTCTATTTCTGTATCCTCCCACTCAATTGGTTCCTGCTTGACCAAGAGTTGCATAGGATCTATGTCTATTCTGTTTTCAATGCTATGTTTTTCAGAAGTAGTTTCAAAAGCTGTTGTAACCTTTGAAATATTATTCTGTTCTGCACTTGAATTGTTTTTCTCTGTTACATTGTTTTTGCTATTTTCACCATTAATGTGACAGATTATTTCGCCCTCAGTCAGTGTACACTCTGCCTTTTTCTGATCTGATGATTCACAATTTTTATCCTGTCCCTTGTTCACATCCTCATGTGACACACTATTTGCACTCTGATCACTTGCTTTTGTCACACCATTGTTATCACTCTGGCCGTACTTTGAACCTTTCTCTCTTCCATTTGTACTTGACCCAGTCCTTTTGTTACCTGCCTCGCTAGCAATGTCACTTCTCCTATGGCTCTGATGTTCAACATCAGATGATCTTCTGTACTTTTCCTGTGTATTTTGGTTTCCATGGTTCCCTTTTTCTCTACAAAGTCCTCTAATCCCCAAAATATGTGCTGCTCTCAAAATACCATCCAGCTGCCCATAGTTGACAGTTGCTTCTCCACTGTACATATACTCAATAAGGATCCTCAGTATACGATAACTGATTTCTGATGGCAAAACAACAACAAGAGGAAGATGACTGTTTCTACCTGGATAAACCGTTTGGAGAAGCTGTTTTATGTAAGAACTGCATGCCGATAAAACAAATCGATGGGCAGCAATTTGCCGGCCATCGATCGTCGCAAGCGTTATGTCTGTAAATGATTCTGAACGGAGTAATGTAGCAATAGATGTGTGAAGGTGGGCTCCGTAGCTGTGCCATTTCAACTGGAAATTCTCCGCTGCAGCAATTGCCATATTTCAGTTCTACGGGAAAATGATACTGCATTACTTTAACGTTTAAATCACACATACAAATTTACTGAGGCTATCACTAATAACACGGCATGACGAAAGAAACTGAAACAAATAATAGAATCCACGAATTATCTAAGCCACACTAAGGTAAGGTTATAACCATGTTACTACTACACTTGCAAAATGTACATATATAACAATAATAAATTACCTTGAAGCTATAGTCTTTCGTACACAGCTTCGTACCCTTCGAACGCTTCGAAGCTATCAAAACACAACGTCGTAGCAGAAGCGAAAAATCGATCATTGGTGCGCATTATCGATTTTCAAATGGAGCAACCAATCATGCGCTTTCATTATCATCGATCCGTATTGGCTGTTGTACAGTAGCAGACGATTGAATTCTCATGTTGCTTTCGTGCACAATGAGAATGTAAAATATTGAGAAAGTACAATATTTTCATTATTTAATAAACTATTACATAAAATTAGAATATAAAATAATATGAAATAAGTCAACCGCAGTGTGGTCCCATAAAACCAAAGAGCTTGCCTCTAATGAAATGTTGCCTTTAAACCTTTGAACACGCATGAGTGTCGTTTCAAGGGGCAGTGATTCGGCGTCAGCGCTGTCGGTACTGGATGTACTGCGTCTGAGAGAGACGTTTCACTTATTTAACAAGTGAGAAGTGTTTGAATTTTGTAAAGTATATTTGTCAACCAGACGTTATAAATGCAGAATAAATAATGGAAGGTAACATTAAAACTAATTCACGTAAACAACGTGGTTTGTGTGTATGATGCTATTGATTTTTTGTTGCACAGTAAGGATAAGACTAAAGTAGATTGTAAAGGATTCTGACTTTCGTGATTGAGGTTAGCTTTTTCTAAGGGATCCAACAGAGTAAGTGTCTCCTTCCCTCACCTGTGGATGGAAACAGATCGAGTTTCCGAAACAAAGTGTTTTCTAACTTCTAGAAAACCGGACGATGGACAAAGCCCGAAACCCCAGTATTTTTAACTCGGAATAAGAATTAACCTCAATAGAATTATTTGTAAGACAGTCGGTAGTAACAACATTTGTAGACTTGATTGGTGAAAGCAAGCATATAGATTTGGGAGAGTGTACAGAGTAGTGTGGTCTTACTTAGAAAAAGTGTCATTGTCCATTAAGTTGCACGCACATTTCCTTTCCCTTGCATTTGCATCTCGTGATGAGACCTTATTTACATTTTCTTTAAATCTTCTTTGTAGTTTTAATTTTTTTTTTGTTGCTTGTTTGTGTAACATCAGGAAAAAATGTTTTCAAACATGGTAATGGAAAGTCATGCAAAGCTGAGAAGACAAGTAATGCATTATTTTGTGTAGAAGTCTTAGTGAATGTAGGCAGCTATTAAGGTACTGGTAGTGTGGATTTATGCTTTAATTTTTTTAGATCTCCTAGAACTGTCGTTTCATATTTTGATTCAAGTGGAATCTGTGTTATTAAGTTTGTGCTCCTTATGATTTCCACTGATCTAATTTTATGTCTAACTGTTGTAAGAAGTACGATCCAGTATATTCTTTCTCCATTGCAATGACAAAATTCCGTCCTACACTGTGGAGAGCTTTACTTTGAAATTGACAATTTTAAGGCAGCCTTATAAGAGGCATATTCAGTAGAACATTTTAGATTCTGTACAATGAAATACATTAATTTGTCAAGTCAGAATTGCAATGAAGAAGAAATTAAAGAGGGGGTTATATTCTGGGAATGCTTGCTGTCATTTAGCTTAGAATCATCGATCATTCTATCTGCTGTGTAAAAACTCAGAAACTGAAATGTACAAAATTATGTTATAATTTGCATTAGTTTTGTATGGGTGTGAACTTTTGTCTGTCAAATCAAAGGAAGTGCATAGACCTAGGGTGTCTGAGGAGACTATTTGGTCCTTAAGGGGAGAAAATAAAAGAATGTTGGCATAAACTGCATAATGAGGGGCTCTTAATTTGTACACCTCACCAGTATTATTATAATTACAAACTCAAGGAAAGTGGGATGAGTGGGTCATGTAGCATTAATGAGAGAGAGAGAAGAGAAATGCATGCAAAATTTGGTGGGAAAACCTGGAGGAAAAGGCCCCCTCTGATTACCTAATTGTAGACGGGAGAATAATATTAAGACATATCAAAAGTAATGCGACTGGGTTCATCTGTGTCATGACAGGGACCAGTGGCAGACGCTTATTAACACTGCACTGAACTTGTGTGACCCATAAAATGCTGGGAATTTTTTGAGCCACTGTTAGCTTGTCATGAAAAACCGTGATCTGTGTAGTTAGTAAGTAAGTAAGTAGGTATAGGCAAGGCATTAACCTGCTCAGTAAGAGGTGCAGATTTCTTATAGTGCCAGAGGATGTGAGAGGTTAGTTATAGCTTATTGACATTGTTAGCATTAATAACTAACGTAATTCCCTCGGATGCTTCAAAGTTGGACATTTAGTGGAATTTATAACTTGTTAGGAAACAGTTGTATAATTTGAGAATGCTCAGTCAATACAGTGACTGCACACAGGCAGCATTCTCAGAGTTCTGTTTGTGGAAATGACAAAAATCTTTGTCTATACCAAGATGTATTCTGAGGCCTGCCCAGGCTTCTATCAGATATATATCTAGGACTCTTCCCAGGGCAAAGCAGCTGAGGTAAGGAATGCAGGGACATTGCCTTTGCAGCCACTATGTACGTCTGTGACATGACTCCATGGTACAGGGACAAATTTGATTTAACTCTTTAGGAATCTGCACTGTTTAGTCTTAAACTGCATGAGACAGTTCTATTTAATGAGTCTAGAAACTGTAATAATACTCCTTATCAGTATTAAAGATGAAGTACAGTATATAGTCAGTTGATTGTCACTCTAAAGAGTGATATTAATAGCCATTTATATACACACATGCTTATTTATGGTGTATGTAATGACATACACCATAAGAGGAAGAAGACGTAAGAAGATGCTGGATGACCTTGGGGACAGAAGAGGATACTGTCATTTGAAGGCGAAAGCTCTAGATTGCATTAAATGGAGGAATTGTTTTGGAAGAGACTGTGGACCTGTCGTCTTGACAGATTACTGATGATGATGTAATGACACTGTCACTAACTAAAGTATCAAATGATAGGATTATTAGTGAGTTACAAATTTTGGAGGATCTGGAAGGATTGTGACCTAATTTGAAGTATTGTGATGGCATTTTCCTGTAGGGATCTAGGAAAAAGCCAGGAGATATGTCATCTCTAGTCTCTGGGCTAAGATTTCAACACAGGACATCCTGAATATGAAGCAGGAAGGCTACCCACTTGACTGCAATATTTGGTCTGAATTAACAGTTCATACCATTACCCTGATCCTGAGCCATTTCAGTCCATTGCACTTTCTTACTGCCTGTTTATGTATGCTCTATTTTTTAACATCATCCTTCTGTCTTGTACTTGATCTTGTGGGTGCCACCTGGAAGATTTCTGTATTACTTCTTTCGCGTGCCATTTGAGCTACTTCCCAAGCAGTCATAACTTAACGGCATGTGGATGGCTATGTATATCACAAAGCAGTAAGCAGTGTGTAATGTCCTATATTTGATATACAATTTATCCCTTTTTAATCTAGATATTTTCCTTTTCTTTAAGAATTTCTTGAGTTGCCATTGTCTATAAATGTATATGGTTACAATTCTTTGATTGAAGAAAGCAGTCATCTGGGATGTGGTGCCATGTAGATGTGGTATTAACCGACGTTTCAGAGGAACGTATCGCCTCCATCTTCAGGGTAGAAGGAAAAATAAGAAAATCGCAAGCAAAGAAACGGTGAGAGCAGATGCAAGCTTGCGGATTTTATTATTTTTCCAACTACCTTGAAGATGGAGGCGATACGTTCCTCCAAAACATCGGCTAACACCACATGTACACAGCGCCACATCCCAGAAGACTGCTTTCTTCATAGTCACCGCCATGATAACCTCAAATCTTACAATTCTTTGATTGTTTCTTATTGCTTCAAGCTTTTTGTCAAAGTGGTGGATGGTCATCATTTTTTGGTTTGCAGTATAATCATGTTTTCTCATCCACATAGATTAGACAATCAAATGATGTGATGATGAATTGGAATGGGTGCAGAGGGAATCATCATGTCCTACTTAAGGTATCATCACAGAATTTCACTGGGAAGCACTGAGTAAAATCATAAATAAACCTCAGTCAGGAAGAGATGGGATAGATCAGTCAGTAAAGTGGCTATGGATAGGATGGCTTGAATGGACGGAATTTCTCTCCATGCCACCGTGTTCAGATAATCTGTGAGACCCCCTCCCCCAACACTTTATACAGTAAACATGTGAGGGGTTCCTTGGGGCAAAGTGGCCTGAGCATGAAGTTGAACGTTTACATTCATCTAATGCTGAGGTCTAGAATATCTGGACCTTCACCTCAACTGTTATGTTTTCATAGCATGGTGATTTAAGAATTTATTTTGCTTTTGTAATTGATATTAATAATAGTTTAATTTCTACAATCTTAATGTTTCAGCTACATCAACAGTAGGTGGCCTTCAGAAATTAATGGAAGGCTTGGCAATAGCAGTGGAAAAGAAGTCAAAAGATATATCAAACATATTGGATTCCCTCGTGCCCCAGATACAGACCTCAGGAGGTGGTAAGTGCAGTTTGCTGTAAAATAAAATCCTTCTGCATTATACTTCACATTAACATTGTAACATGAGTGCTGGAAGCCAGAAGAAACAGCCGTTGCTAGGCAATGGCATGGTAAACACATAGCCATGGCAATAAATCAACACACTACAGTAGATGAACTGTTGGATGTGGTGTTTTCTGTGCAGTCCATGCCAAGGCTATATAGTGAAGACGAATGAGGCAAGTTAGTGGAGGTGGGGTCGAATACCTCCACCATAGACCTGTAGGTTGTATTAGACAACGAAAATGGAACTCAGTGCCTGGAGGTATAACTTGGCTACCCTGTTCCTGGGGGGATACAAATAAGGGGACCTGGCACTTCAGGTTGGGGGAGTCTCATATGTAAGTCAATAAAATGTGGTCATGAGTCCCGCAGGACTCAGGCTTCAGAATGATGTGCTCTGGCAAGTGCCAGTAACAATTGTAAATGACACCCATTCTCTCGTTGAAGAGGATGTTACATCAGGACTATGAATGCAAGTGTTCAGTTGGAAAAAAAATTTCTGGTCATGAATCTCAAGGGGCTTATCACCAAGACAGACTGATTGGTGGTAAACAAGCAGTATTAAAGTAAGTCTGACTCTGACTGAAGTTAGTTGTGAATCAGTTGTCTTCCAGCGAGGACATGAGCATGGAAGCAGAATAATCACTGTTGCTGGGAACTCTTACCAAGTAATGGCTGGTGAAGACATAGAAGACTTTATGTGTGCTGCAGTTAGCAGTGATCCTTAAAGTGTAATTTGTAATTTTGAGTTATGAATGTTCAGTAAATCCCATGATCATCCAAACCCTATGTTTAGTCAGTAACATGTGGCAATATATTTCAATTAATATGCATTTCATTGTTCCACAACTGAACCTGCATGTACATAATGTAAAAGATCATTGAAGATTGCCCGTTTTCAGGAATGTGATGCCCTGTAGTTTTGTAGATAAGTGGTAATGTTTCGGAGGAACTGGCTACCTCCAACTTTATCTTCTACTGTAAAGATGAAGGAAATACATTCCTGTAAAATGTTTGTACCTATCTACTAAACTACATGGCATCATATCCGAGAAGACAGTTACTGTCATCACTGTAGCTTTGCTAGCTTGCGAACATATTTCAGGTTTGTATCTGGACCAGATGTGGTAGGAATATTGACCAAGAGTTCCCCACATCAGTGGTCTGTTATCCATTTTTATTTTTTCATTCATGATATAGAGAAACAGCAGTATTCAGAGAAACAGTTTTTTTTGCCTTGTGGTCATATCATAAATATCTCTGTTTGTTCCCTCTCCCCAGTAACATTAATTGTTCATCCCTACTGTGCACTCAGTATGTCCATGATGAATGGTTTATTTGGCTTGAAAGGTCATCATTTCCTTCAAAGTTTACATTAAATTAGGTATATAATCAGCATATATTATTCATCCTTTCATCAGACTTTGGAAACTGCAGCTCCTTTGAGAAGCAGCTGGAAACATTGTTGCAGTGGGAATCTAAAGAAATTATAGCAAAAGCGGCAAAGGTGGTGGCAGAATTAGCAAAGTCAGAAAATGGACGTGAAGAATATGGAAATACAGCAATTCTCAAGACACTAGTTGAGCTTCTGAAGACTAAGGAGCAGGATTTGGACATACTAACTCAAATCTGCCGAGCTCTGGGAAATATATGTTATGATAATGGTAACCTTTTTGATATATTAATATTATTTAATTAATTGCTTACATTTCCTCATCACAATATATACACTTTCATATTGTATTTTGTTCTCTGAGTGTGTATTTTGGCTGTAATAGCCATCTTCTTGTACACTACTACACTGTTATCATTTTATGTACATTGTTTCAGTTATATATGGTAAAAGTAAAGATGTGTAGATCCATGTTTTCTTGACCTTGGCACTGGTTTGAGGTGAGTGGTCAGCTTCACGCCTGACCACTTTACCCCAATGGAAAGAGCCCCCGGTACCATAATAGGAGGTTGTGTGGACCCCATAGCCAGTCTAGACAACATGGAGAAATGAAAATTCTTGACCCTATTGGGACTCGAACTCTGACCCCTCGGTCATCTATCCCGTAGCCAGTCACTATACTGACTGCACTATCCCAGCTTTCCAGTTATATATGACTCATTATTTTCATGATTTTTACTTTTGTTCATTTGTTGAGGTAACTTCAAGTTGTGGTTCTGGCATTGCATGTTTACTAAATCGGTGTTCAAATATTCACAGTGTTCTGTTGATACATGTTCCTGTTTAAATTATTTCATAGTGTCATTAAGATATCCAGACCACTTCTGTGGTCTAGTGGTCAGAGTTCCTACCTACAGATCCAGAGGTCCTGGGTTCTCTTCCCAACACTTGCAGATTTTCCGAGAAGTAGTGGGTCTGGAACGGGGTCCACTGAGCCCTGTGAGGATAATTGAGGAGTTTCTTGAATGGAAAAGTAGCGGCTCTGGTCTAGGAAACCAAAATTAACAGCTGTGGGGATCCGTTGTGCTGACCACACGACACCCTCGGTCAGTATAGTTCGCTTGCGGACGACAGGCCACGGAGTTTGTTTTTGTATTAAGAAATCCTTTCTTAATTTTTACCATATATTCTCAGTGTATGCTAGTTATATTTTGTACCTCATTGTAGAGATTGTATAATTATATTTTTGTAAGATGTTAGGTTTCTTGTTGCATGAAATTTCATAATAGCACTATTTCCATCAGAAACCAGAGGTAGTACGAGCATATTCCTGCCAAATGTTGGTATCTGCATGCTAGACTACACAATGTCATACCCCAGACGATTGCAGCATATATGAATGTGGTTTGTGGAATTATATCGGCACACATTAGTTGCTTTTAGCAAAAGTGGCATGACATATGCTACTGCCACGGCTGCCACTAAAGTAAAAAAGTAAAGGTATCCCTGTAACAGGCCGTGGAGGCCCATAGGGTTGTGAGACGTTGAGATTCCCACATTATCTAGACAATTGGCTCACAGATGGCAGTAAGGTTGTCAGCCGTTCACACCGGCCACCCCTTGCCCCCAAGAATATTCCTGGTACCCATTTCTGTTGGAGGCTAATTGGACCCCATGGCCATAGTGTGGCTGGAAGGATTAGGTTAATTGAAAAAAATCCAATGACCTCATCAGAGCATGAACCCGTGACCTTCCGGCTTGTAGCATAGTGCCTCAATGAACTATGCTACTGTGTTAGGGGCTGCCACTAAAATGATTAAATATTGTGTCAATTTCTAGTATATTAAGTGAACTGGAGTGAAAGTGCTCAGTACAGGTGTTAATGATATTAATGTCTGAATTGAGGCCTTTTAAAGGTCACTATTGGGACAGTTATTTCACATTCACTAGAATTCAAGAGCTTGTTTACAGTTTTGCAGTGATCTGTAACCATATATTAGCTCCTGTGTGTCTTACCATCGTCACAGTATGTCTTCGGTCTGGATAAACAGATCTGAATACAATTTAGTATTAGAGAATTCCAGTTGTTATTCGTGAAGATGTGTGTACTACATTAAATTGTATATGTATTGAAATATGCCTCAGAAGAAACTGTAGCCATTGATGAAATGCACGTTTTTATGTTCTATGTATTTATTGGTATATCATCATCATCTTTTAGATTGTTACTGTCAAATACAGTACTAAAAATGAGGCAAGTTGGCTAATGACAGTCATCTTATACCAGAGGCTACTTACAGGTAATAACAGCCAAATAACAATAAAATTATATATTTGATTGATTGCATTTGTGTGCCATGTTTCCAGTTTACCAAAATTATTAGCACTGATGCTAAGGAAATGTTATGATCATATTGTTATGGTGCGTAATTTTAATATTATGGCAGGATAAAAGTCAGTGAGAAGCTAGGCACTTCTCGCTGTTTGTTTGGTAATTCCTGTGTTACATCATGGTGAATTTTTGGTAATGTTTGTTACTTGAATACATGTTTTCAGACAAAGGCAGGAAATTTGTTCTTGATGCCAATTGCTTGCCGGTCTTGTTGGGCATCTTGGAACGGTCAGTCAGTGAAACTGGTGAAGAAGGCAGAACACTTCGAAATGTCGCAGCTGGATTTCTATTAAATTTACTCATTGGACAGGAAGATGTTCAACAAAAGGTAATATAAAATCCAGAAATGTTAGGTACCATGGAATCATATTCTCATCATTCCATTAAGTGTAATTGATTTTGTATGTAAATGTGTAAGTTATGGTCAGGTTATTCTTAAAGGAGACTAACTGGGATATATGAGGGGGAGTCAATAAATAGGTCACTAATGGAAATAAAACAGCTGTAATAGGCATAATAGGTTTTCTGTGTGTATTACTAAGTAGCAACACAGTCCAGCTTCATGACAGTCTAGGTATCAGAGACACATGTGCATATTCAGTAGTCAAAATGGTGGCCGTGCTTGAGGAGTGTATTGCCGAAAAGCAGCCTTCTGTTGTGCTATATATAGGAATTATGTTAACCATCAACACAACAAATATACTTGCTTTTAATGTTTTAAAATTTGACATTTTATTCCAGTTACACAGTTACATGTTTTTGTCTTACAAGACTATCATCAGGCAGTTAAATACAGTTATGCCTGATGATAATCTTGTATGACCAAAACATGTAACAGGAATAAAAAGTCGCATTGTAAAACATTAAAAGCAAGTATATTTGTTGTGTTGATGGTTAATCTAATTCCTCTATATATCTGGAACACACAACAGGATGCTACCAGTGAAGATACTTCTGTTGTGCGTTTTTTCTAAGCAAAAGGACTAAATGAAAAGGATATTCACAAAGAAATGTGTCTTGCTTATGGTGGAAAGTGTTTGCTGTGTAAAGCAGTTCACAACTGTGTTGAGAAATTCTCTCAAGGACATTCAAAAGTTGCAGACGATGCCCATCCCGGTCATCCTGTTGAAGTTGTGACAGAAGCAACTGTGCAGCGGGTGGAAGAGTTCATTCGAGCTGACAGGAGGATAATGATAAACGGTGTAGCAACTGCACTAGGGTATTCTCATATTTAGCATGCAACATAATGCATGATTGAAGTTTCAGAAAGTGTGCCCTAGGGTGCCCAGAGAACTGAAAAATTGAGAAAAGGGAACCGATTGGGTCTGTCCTTGCAACATCTCTTATGGTTTGAAGATGAAGGAGAAGATATGCTTAACAGAATTGTTACTGAGGACAAATCACGGGTGCTTTACTACCAACCCAAATCAAAGCATGCTTCATTGCAGTGAAAACATCAAGTTTACTCTTAACTAAAAAGCTCGAAGTTTAAGGTTACGCCATCAGTTGGGAGCGTAATGCTTACCGTGTTTTGGGATTCTCGTGTAGTACTGTTAGCCCATTTTCTGAAGCACGGTGAAAATGTGAATTCTGCNCTGACAGGAGGATAATGATAAACGGTGTAGCAACTGCACTAGGGTATTCTCATATTTAGCATGCAACATAATGCATGATTGAAGTTTCAGAAAGTGTGCCCTAGGGTGCCCAGAGAACTGAAAAATTGAGAAAATGGAACTGATTGGGTCTGTCCTTGCAACATCTCTTATGGTTTGAAGATGAAGGAGAAGATATGCTTAACAGAATTGTTACTGAGGACAAATCACGGGTGCTTTACTACCAACCCAAATCAAAGCATGCTTCATTGCAGTGAAAACATCAAGTTTACTCTTAACTAAAAAGCTAGAAGTTGAAGGTTATGCCATCAGTTGGGAGCGTAATGCTTACCGTGTTTTGGGATTCTCATGTTAGCCCATTTTCTGAAGCACGGTGAAAATGTGAATTCTGTATCGTTCTGATGAAGCTTCAGGATGCAATTCATAGAAAACGTCCAGGCCAGCTGGAAAGAGGGGTACTGCTTCATCATGATAATTCCAGGCCCCATACAGCCCAAACAACCCAGGAAAGAGTTCAAGAGGCACAGTGGGAACTTCTTGAATATCTGCCTTACGGCCCGGACTAGGCCCCAAGTGACTTCCATCTACTTGGTCCACCGAAAGACCATCTTGATGGCCAGTGTTTCATTGATGACGAAGAGGTTGAAACGGTGGTGCAGAAGTGGCTGAGACAGCGGTCAAGAAACCCCTCTGCTGTGGGTTTCGACGCACTGATAAAGTGATTGGACAAATGTATCAATGTTGTTGAAAGATATGTCAAGAAATAAATGTCTTCTCCATGTTCGAATATCACATGTTTTACATTTCATATCCATTTGAGACCTATTTACTGACTCTCTCTCATATTTTCATATAGGCAATAGAGCTGGGTGTATCCAGATTGTTATGCAGCATCTTGGAACTTGATGGAACTGTCCCAGAAGGGGAAGAGGCATCTACACACATACTGTTGATTCTTGGATTGCTCACTGACTTAGGTAATGTGGTTATCTAAGCTAGTGTTTCTGAAATTCTTGTGTGTGTCACATGAAACTTTCATATGAAGTGTTGCAGCACTTGCATTCTTTGAGTCTCTCATGAATTTTTCTGGCATAGAAGGGACTTACATGTGAAGTGGTTATACAGTATGTTAGAAACTTAGTACCTGTGCTCAGTTATACTATAATCGTAGATAAAAATAACCACAAATATATTATTTACAGTTGATTTTCATTATAATTAATGTTTGTACTATCACTTTTTAGTGCCACCTTGTGATTCATTGTTGGATGAAAAATTGTGTCAAGTAACAGTGAAAGTATTAGGTGCATCTTCATCCCCTGAAGTTAGTGAGATGAGCTTGGAACTCTTGCATGGACAAGCTGAAAATGGTGAGTTTCTTTGTTGCCCTATACATAATATCAGTTGTAGCTTGAATAATAAAAAGAAAATACAGTTCTACACATGGATTTTAAATGATGTATCACATTTAAACACAGTAACACTACAAGATTATGTTATATTTTAGCATCCTGTTGCACTGATTCACATTCATGATGTGTATTTGTACCAACCGTCTTACAGTGCACACAATTTCACTTTTCTCTTCACTACATGTTTTGGCACTAATGTGCCATCTTCAGGTGTGGTTTTATTTACGTCAAACCATTGCACTGTATGCCATCATGTCTCCTTTATAAAATGATTAAAATNAAAATTATTAAAATGTATATATGTCATGTACAATAATAAAGTTTATATATTAAAACTTTTCAAGATTTATCATCTATACGTCGCACTTCAAATTCGCGAGTTACATAAATCCTCTCCTATGGGAGTACTCTTCCTATATTCTTGTGTATATAGGAAGAGTACAGGAAGGAAATGGTACAGAAATATATACAGCACAGATATCAAATGGAAAATCAAGCTGAAATGTATTCTTTATATAAGAATACACTAATTGTTACCTCTTCAAGTTTTTATTGAGTAATTCTTTACCTAACAAGTTTTACAATGCTGGAAGTTGTCTGTTATTAATTAAATTTTAGGAAGTTTTCTTTTTTTGTATTTTGAAACTTCAGCATGCAGTAAATTTTACTACACAATTAGGTAGCTTCTGATGTCCATTTTGTATGAACCAAGTTTCACAGAAACATGCATACAGCAAAACCCCCAATTTTAAGGTTTGTTGGGAAACAGTGGATTTGGACATTAAACCAAGGAAAGTACTGAATGGAGGATATTTAACATTGAGATTATTGACTCTAGATCATCCAAATTCATTGTTAAATAAAAGAAACTCTTAAATTGAGGAACATTATAAGGTGCTCCACTGTATTAGTGGATCAGTATTGGTGATCAGAATATTTATTTGGATATATTGATGCCACTACTGAGTGAAGTATAGCCTACATCCCACAAGCCTTAGTACTTTGTACTAGGTGGTTCAAATATGACCGGGACTGATTTTTTAAAAAAAACCATAAATGCCAAACACTTACTTGCACATGTCAGTCTTCAACATACTCCGCTCCGGAGTCAACACATTTTTTCCAACTTTCTGGAAGCATCCTGACACCCCCCCCCCCAAAAAAGACTTGTGGTTGGCGGCATATCCACTCCCGAACAGTCTGGATGACGGCAGCATCGTCCACAAACCACATGCCTTGCAAGTCTGATTTGAGCCTTCCGAACAGGTGGAAATCACTTGGGGCCAAATCGGGACTGTACGGCGGATGTGTCAGAAGGTTCCATTTCAATTTCCAAAGAGTTTCCATTGTTGTTTTGGCCGTATGGGGGCGTGCATTGTCTTGAAGGAAGGCTACCTGCTTTCCACCTGTCTTCTGCTTGGATCGGATCTTACTCCAAATTCCTTGATAGTGATGCGCCTATTCTCACGACTAAGCACATCTGCACAATCAATGTTCGGCTCTGTGATGGATGTTCACGGCCAACAATCATGCGGTTCATTCTCCATGTGCTCTCTGCCCTCTCTGAAGCACTTACACCACTCAAACACACGGGTCCGTGAGAGACACTCTTCCCCATACTGTTGTTGGAGTCTGTGGTGGATTTCAGTGGACTGGACATTTTCTCCAATGAGGAATTTGATCACAATGTGTTGTTCCATGCTCTGCAGTACCATCTGTTCTCTCATCACTCTAGCAACTTCCAGACAGGACTGAACAGGTTCTAACCCTAACAGGAGGGAGGGTGGAGGTTGTGGCTTCACTCTCTCAAGGTCGCACAGCTGCTGCGCAGTGCGGCTTGTTTACAAAAAAATCAGTTCCGGTCATATTTGAACCACCTTGTATCTTGACAATAGCTGGGTTATTGGGCACAGTATTTTGTGATTTTACGTAAGTCGTAGTAGTCTGTGAGCAGTCCAATTTTAATTGGAATGAAGAATTTAGCTGTCACCGTGCAATTGTTGATTTAGCTTGGAATGACTCATCTCTCGTAATGCATGTCCACATTTCTACTCACATCCACACACACACACACACACACACACACACACATATATATATATATATATATATTGTCGCGTGTTTGCTAAGCAACGTGACAAGAAATTATGTGGGTTTCATATTTGAACGAATATTTATTGAACAGTTATTTTTACACTTCCAAGTACAACTATCATACACTTATAACATCATCAGACGTTTCTTACAGCACTGTAATAGTTACTACTTGCACCGCTAATCTTGGTAAAGTCTTCTGTTCCCTTTGTCGGTTGTGAGCTTGCTTCTGCTCTAGTCAGAGCTGGACTTTCAAAACTTGCATGTGAACTCAATAGAGAATACCATGTCAAAGGGTTAACCTCAGCCGCTGCTATGCAAAAGCTGCTTTGTGTAGTGGTGGAAACTCCACTGTTAGGGTGCTAGCCACTGTATAGCGATGGATGTGTTCTGATTGTAGCATTGTAGTGGAAACATCGCCATTGCCTAGGAAATCAACCATGATCTCCTCAATCCTTCTGGCTTTCTGGCGGCACTCCACAATATATATAACTTTGAATTTTTCTACAGTAGTCAAAATTTGAGCTTTTCTTTTATTACAGAGAAAGTTAAAAACCACTTAGCACATGCAGGCTTATGTGAGTTGTTGGTTCAGTTGTTAGAGAAACATAAGCCTCTTGTAAATGATGATGAAACCAGAAACCTCATGAAGATGGCCTGTGATCTGATTGTCCTCGTTCTTACAGGTGGTAAGTAATTTCATTGTGTGATTATTTTATTTTATTTCTAGTGTGCTGTGGTGAGGTGGTTTTTCAGTATTTGAAAGAATTTGCATTTATCTCTTTTAAAGGTAAAATGGTCAAACGGGTCAAGCTCTGATATTTTTAGTTTCTGTTGGTATTAATTCAGTTCTTGGGTGATTACACAGTGTGGATGAGGGCATTGTTGCTGACATTTCGGAGGTTCATGCCGCCTCCATCTTCAGGGTTGAAGTATGGAGTTTGTGTCCCATGTGGGCCAACAAGGACAGTGGACTGGGAAAGCTGTGCAAGGAAGGAACTGGCCCTTTTAAAGGCCATGGAATGCTCCAAAAGACCATCAGAAGCTGGTACTCTCAGGCAGTCACCCATCCTGCTTAGCGTTGCTTAACCATCTGCGCTATGTGTCAGGCAGCATGAAGAGTGGCAGGAGAGTCGTCATTGTTCAAGGGTATGTTTTGGTGGGGAACAGTAAGGAAGAAAGGTGTATCTGCATTTGAGAAAGGAGGTGATGGTTGAGTTTGGCATAATCAGGGGACAAAATCCCCTTGTGCAGTTGCTGTAGCTGTTCCTTGATCTGGCACAGGATTTGTGGGAGGAGTATTGTCGTGGCATTCTCTCTGCTGCTTAACCATGTGAATGATCTTCCAGGCAGGGCTTAACAGGTAGCCACTTTCCCTGTTAAAGTTTTGACATAGCTTAATTTCTATGGCTTCTCAGATGACTCTTCTGGCATAGTACAGTTTGGCTAATACCCTTGTGCTTTCAAAGTATATCCACTGCTCTGGTTGATTGAATGCCCTGCCACTGCCAGTTGTTGTGGATGGTACAGCCAGAGGTCTGGTGCTCCTTTGTGTGTTCCCTCATGTTGCCAGTTGCACCAATGTAGATGGCCCCATATTCGCATGAGATCTTGTAGACTCCAGAGCTTCTAGTCCCCAGCTGTCCTTGACTGGCCTGAAAGCAGTGTATGTCTTGGACAGTGGTAGTGTTCCCCCATGATTTTTTTCAAATCAGAGACCCTTATGTACACATCCTATACATTTCAACCCTGAAGAAGATGGCAACATATACGAGGGGGTACCCAAAAGAAACCGAACTTATTTTTTTTTAAACATATTTATTCAACTTTTAAGCACAAACCTTCAATCCCCTTCAGAGTACTCTCCACTTACACTAATACACTTGTCTAGTCTTTTATTCCATTTTTCAGAACATTGTCTAAATTCATCTTTTGAGATGCTTGACAGCGCCTCCGTCGTTTTTTCCTTTCATGTCTCTTTTCATTCGAGGAAACAAAAAAAAGTCGCACGGGGCAAGGTCGGGTGAGTATGGAGGGTGAGGAACAGGGGTCATACCATTTTTGGTCAAGAATTGTCATACAGACAGGGCTGTGTGAGCAGGGGCATTGTCATGATGGAAAAGCCAGTCACCCAACTGCCACAAATCTGGCCGCTGAGCTCCAAGTCACTCCCGACAGCTCCACAATTTCTTCAGTGGTCCGTCGTCGATCTTCCTTGATGATTTCACGAAGTTTTTCAACATTTTCATGTGTTCGGGCCGTGGAAGGACGACCAGAACAAGGTTTGTCATCAATTGACATTTCACCATTTTTGAAACGGGAAAACCACTCAAACACTTGAGTTTTCCCCATAGCATCATCCTTGTACGCCGTTTTTAACACTTCAAGAGTTTCTGTTCCACTTTTCCCGAGCAAAAAGCAGAATTTCACCGCCGCACGCTGTTCACGAAAATCAGCCATTGCAAAAACGACGATCACACAAAACAGTTGTCACTATAAACTCTGCCAAAACTAGTCCTTACCTTCTGAAGCAACAGTAGTCGGCTTATCGACTCAGGAATGTTAGCTCTATGCGTTCATAGCGGCAAAATGCGGTACTACAAAAGCTCTGCCCACAAAAAAATTAGTTCGGTTTCTTTTGGGTACCCCATTGTATCTCCAAAATGTCAGCAACATTACAACACTGCATAACCGGTCAAGAACTAAATGAAAATCAACAGTTAATCACTGTGAATGCCTGAAAGATTTATTATAGTTTATGTCCCTGAAGTAATGGGAACTTACATGTTCTGATTGGTGTATGTACAGCTAATAGAGAAGCAGATCAGAACTTGGATCCCTAAGGGACCACACATCTACCAATCAGACTGCTGAATGTCCCACTTTATGACCTAGATCTATGAATATTGATGCAAGGTATGTCTTCAGTCACTTCGCCTTGAAGCAGGGGAGACAGCCAGATTTTCAAAACCATCAGCCAGTCCTTCTCAGTACATCACTGTTATCACCAAAAATGAATAAAAGATTAGATACAAACACCATAAAAGCTGAATACTTATATGATGTTAGGATCTTGAATGCTAGGCAGATGATTGTGATGTAAGCTGAATAGCAGCCAGGGGGAAGCAAACTTAATACTTTATTTTAAATGTCTTCAGTATCATGGCTTGCAAGCTTTTACATAGTTAGTGCTTAACAAATGAATGTGTAAAGCATTCTACAGTGAGTAAGCTTGAATAAAATCTAAGTACAGTGTGGCTGCATTTTGTGTGAATTTGAAATAGTGTGATATAAAAAATATTAATAAAGTCTCACTTTATGTGCAAAGTTTGAAATACTATGAATCCTAAAAAAATGGCAAGAATCATGTATGTTTCTCAGAACTATGAAAAAACTTGTCTTGAATTATGCATGGCCTTCAGGAACATATCCTCACATAAAATATCACTGCACTCTACTGAAATTTCTTCTTTTTTTCTGCTTCCTCTTCCTTTTTCTTCTGTATGATAAAATTTTGGTGAGGCCAGTTCTTCAGATCCATTTTCCCCATGTGACTTGGATGTGCTTACTTAGTTTTATCTCCAGTTTTATCCCATAATAAACTCTGTATTGATTTTCCTGGATGATTTTTATTAGAAAAAGCGCTTACTTTGTATGACTATTTCAATAATTTTTTTTGTGTGGGTGGGGAGGGTGTCACAGCTCATGGTATAGTGGTTAGTATACTGTGTTCAGGAGGCCTTTAAGGTGAGTCTTCGACTGAAGGCCAAATGTCCTATTGGAGGTTTCTCCATGGTTCTGCAAGTATTTACAGGTGGAAGCTGTGGCAGTATCTTCAGATATTCAGTTCCAGTTCCATAGAAGTGGTGTTGTTTTAAAGATCAATCTTCAGACGAGGCATAACAATTGAGAGCTTGGCACTGCTGCTTTATATTCAGGGGATTCTAGTTTCTGTCCTTGTCCTGAGGTCAGATTATTATGTTCCTCAGGCACCATATAAAAATACTGGGATATTATGTCTTAAGATAGCCTGTGACTTCATTCTAATACATTCTTCCCACTTCATCATTCAGAATTGTCCTCCCATGAACATTATAAAACACATCCAATTAAGAATTTGCCATTAAATAAACTATTTTTTTTTTATTGCTAGTGGGATGAGACTAAGTCCCTTGCACTGCAGCCACTTCTCGCCTATTGCACCAGCCCCAGATGATAGGTGATGGTAATTGTGGAGCAACTGGTGGAATGAAGATTGGCAGTGGAAACTGAAGTACTCGGAGAAAACCTGCCCCAGCGCCACTATTAAATAAACTAAGAAAGAAATTTTTTGTTTCAGATGTTAGTATGAATACACTGTATGCAGAAGGAAAGGGTAAAGTGTTTCAGCAGATGATGTCTTGGTTAGGTTCAGGAGATGAAGATTTGCAGATTACTGGTGTACTTGCAATGGGAAACTTTGCTAGAACAGGTAAGTATCAAAAGTAACAGAGCACAGAAACTAAGTTGTCATTTCACAGGGGTAGCTAGATGTATGTGTCAAGAATTCTGACCTTCCAGATAAATGCTGGAATGATAAGTGGAACAGGATATGTCCACTCTTCCACATCTCTTCTGATTCACCACTCTTAGCCATCCTGCCATTTCCCATTTGGTTGTAAACATCATAACTACTAATACAGTGTTGTGAAGCAGCTGAGTCCATGGTGAAAGATCATCCTATGCAACTGGTAGTTATTTAGCTGGTCAAGATATTTGGATCCCAAAGCCTCAAACCTTCACATCCCATTTATGTAAGATCCTTATGTGACACATTCAGCAGTGACAGTATAATTTTATGCTTTTCTTATGCTTCATTGAGATGGATGATGTAGATAGTGCCCACATCTGTCCAGATGTCACAGTTGTACAAAATTTAAAAGTTTCCTGCTGAACTTCCCATCTGATATGCAACTGGCCCCAAACACATTTTTGGAAATATATGGTGGTATCTGCATTATCACTGATGAAGATATCTGGTACCAATGAATGGATAGAGTTCATGAGAAGCTGATAGTCGCTCAAATTTTCAAGACATTCCCTGCCTTCTGTGTAACCCCAGATGTTTGTTACCATGTTAACAGGATCCCACCACTGGACCCCAGTCTTAGTCAACTGAATCCATTCCGCATCTTCATGTCATGTTTCTTTAAGATCCACTTTCATATTAATCTCCCATTTACACTTTTGTCTTCCAGCAGTATATTAATATTTTAGCATAGTTGATTGAGGCACTATGCTACAAGTCCCAATGAAGTCACTGGATTTTTTCAATTGACCTAATCCTTCCAGCAACACTATGACCTTGTGGTCAGCTCAGAAACAGAAATTAGCACCAGGAATATTCTTGAGGGTAAAGGGCAGCCAGCATGTAGGGCTGCCAACCTTGCTGCCATCTGTGAGCCGATTGTCTAGAAAATGTGGGAACCTCAACATCTCACAACCCTATGGGCCTCCACGGCCTGTTACAGGGATACCTTTACTTTATTTTCACTCTACTCTGTGCCCCTACATTCTGTTGAGGTTCTTGATATACATTTTATGTGAATTTTTCATTTCATCCATGGTGTATTACAGTAATATAATTATGACTGTTATTATTATTAGATAAACACTGCATCCAGATGGTAGAAGCTGGTGTGAGCAAGAAACTGTTAGCTCTTGTTGAAAAGAATAACACACCATCAGCAGATATACGACTGCAGCATGCTCTTCTTAGTGCCCTCAGGTATGCCACCTTAACTCAATCGTCATCACCATTTCATCATTTGGCATTTGGTACACTTCCTGTTCCAGCTCAGTACCTTAGCATCCATCATCTATGAAGGTTTTCTATCTTGTGTATTGCATGACTACGAGGGGGTACCTAAAAGAAACCAAATTTATTTTTTTTTTACTTATTTATTCAAATTTTAAGCACAAACCTTCAATCCCCTTCAAAGTACTCTCCACTTAAAAAAAAGTCGCACGGGGCAAGGTCGGGTGAGTATGGGGGGTGAGGAACAGGAGTCATACCATTTTTGGTCAAGAATTATCATACAGACAGGGCTGTGTGAGCAGGGGCATTGTCATGATGGAAAAACCAGTCGCCCGACTGCCACAAATCTGGCCGCTGAGCTCCAAGTCACTCCCGACAGCTCCACAATTTCTTCAATGGTCCGTCGTCAATCTTCCTTGATGATTTCACGAATTTTTTCAACATTTTCATGTGTTCGGGCCGTGGAAGGACGACCAGAACGAGGTTTGTCATCAATTGACATTTTACCATTTTTGAAACGGGAAAACCACTCAAACACTTGAGTTTTCCCCCATAGCATCGTCCTTGTATGCCGTTTTTAACATTTCAAGAGTTTCTGTTCCACTTTTCCCGAGCAAAAAGCAGAATTTCACCGCCGCACGCTGTTCACGAAAATCAGCCATTGCAAAAACTACAATCACACAAAACAGTTGTCACTATAAACTCTGCCGAAACTAGTCCTTACCTTCTGAAGCAACGGTAGTCGTCTTATCGACTCAGGAATGTTAGCTCTATACACTCATAGCGGCAAAATGCGGTACTACAAAAGCTTTGCCCACAAAAAAATTAGTTCGGTTTCTTTTGGGTACCCCATCGTATTTCTTTGCCACGCCTGATTATCACTGGTTCAGTGCTAAGAAACACATTCGTTATCATTAGGGTGCACTTCAACGTATACAACACAAAACATTACAGTGCAGTGTTGCCTTGAGTTTACAGCCTGTAGTTTCAAGATTAAGACTGCATGAGTTAATGTTTTGACAATATGTATATGACTTTCCATAGGCCACTGTAAGACAGCATCCAGAACTGATACGTTACTGCTGTACTGCATTACACACAACTGAGCAGACACACTTCTTTTTGAAAAGGGAAGGGAATATAATATAAGAAAGAATTGCCCCCACATCATCTGTTAAGAGAAATATGTACTGTGTTTAAACCAAGATTGTACTATCAGTTATAAGAATTTCAATTCATATAATGATATCGTGGCATAGAGACCTGTTGCTAAGCAGTGACTCTGTAACAGTGGCTGTTGCTATGTAAGGCACGCAACAGTATAAAAATTATGAACACAACAATAGAAGAATGATGTTTTCTGTGTGGTCCATGCCGAGATGTTATGAAGAGGACAGTTTGAAGAAATGATCTCAGTTGTATTAGCCAGCGGGCAATGGCATGAACACAGAAGCTGAAGAATCTCCATCTTTGAGAGCTGTTACCAAGCATTGACTAGGGAAGACTATAAAAGACTGAGGCTTAGCAGGTGCTGTGGTGATTTGTGAATTGTGAAGATTGGCAGTGGTACCGTAATTGCTTGTAGTTCTGAGTTGTGTGTATAGGTGGTCAATAAATCCATTCATCAATCCAAACCCCATCTATGGTCACGTATACTGCGTGACAGTACGTGACAATCTATTGAGTAAAGGCACTTAAATTTTGTGTTGTGCCCCAAGTCCAGGAATTGCTGCGTTGGTTCTGTATATTTTGGATCACACCTGTTGGTGGTGAAGTAATTGCAACTAAAAGAATAAGATCAGACAAAATGGTTTGTTGCACTAACAAATTTGAATGAGAAATCTTTATGATAATATGTTTCTGAAGCGAGGGCAACGATCATGAAATCATTAGGAGACTTATCAGAAACGTTCCCACAAATTTTATGTGAAACTTTTTTTATGTATGTTAACATTTTCAAACATGACAGTTGTGCAGAGCTTTGAGATTATCACTGGTAAATAGTTTTGATGTGTTTTAATCAAAATTATGCACAGAAATGGTTACATAATTGTATAATTTTTAATTTTCTGTTTATACTGGGTGCACTGTATGCAGGGTAATTCATCAGTCCCTCCAGAATTTCAGAACTTGGCAGCACAACACCCAAGACAGACACAGCAAAAGGGAGCATATCACTAAGGAGAGAATCTCTCCCAAGTTTTTTTTTATTAGGCACCATAGTGTATATGCAGGTTTCACCACTAGGGGACAGTCAGGATGAAACATGACGAGGACAGGGGGTAAGAAAGCGTTCTGTGTCTTAGATTTTACCAAAACTGAGTCATTTATGATGGTGCAATGGAGGTTTCAAATGAAGTACCACACAGAACCGCCTACAGACAAAACAATTCATGTATGGTACAAGAAATTCCAGCAGAGTAGTTACCTGTGTGCTGTGAAACGAACAAGGTGGCCAGGGCCAAGGGCCAAGACCATTTTTCTTTGCATACCAAGCTGTTACCGGTATGAACTACCTGGTTATGCTGCAACTATGGCAGATGCTGCAATTACAGGAAGATAACAAGGACTTCATTTCGAACAAGATGGAGCCCCACCACACTTCCATGTTGACTCTGCAAAGAGAAATGGTCTCGGCTGATGGCCCTGGCTGGCCTCTTCATTTCACAGTGCACAGGCTACCACCCTGCTGAAATTTCTTGTACCACTCACAAATTGTTTTGTCCATAGGTGGTTCTATGTGGTACTTGGTCTGAAACATCTGTTGCATCATCGAAATTGACTCTGTTTTGGCACAGAACACTTATCCACTGTCCTCGCCATGTTTCATCTTGAATACCCCCTAGTGGTGAAACCTGTAAGTGCACCATGGTGTCTATTACCCAAAAAAACTGGGACATATTCTCTACCTATTGATATGCTGCTTCTGCTGTGTCTGTCTTGATTGTTAAACTGCCAAGTTTCAGAAGTTCTGGAGGGACTGATGATTTACTCTGTACATTGGAATACATGGAAGAAAGTAGGATGTCATAAGTTCTCTATGGAACTTCTTATGTATTCACAGGAATTTAGTGATACCAAGCCAGAATAAAGCCATAGTGTTGGAAGATGGTCTAGTGGACACCATATATCCTATGCTGGCCATCCCTACTTTCCCTGTTGTTTTCAAGTTACTGGGGACCCTGCGTATGGTTATTGATGGACAGGGTGAGTAATATGTTGTCACAGACTCTGAGACAGTGTGGTGATAAACTGAAATTCCCTTGTTTCCCTTTAGATTTATGAAGTGTATTTTACAACTGTTCATATGCTGATACTTGCAGAGAGTGCAGCTTGCAAGCTCGGGCAGAAGAAAGATCTGGTCAGCAGACTGGTAACTTGGTGTGGGACTGAGGATCACCCTGGTGTGCAAGGAGAAGCTAATCGATTGTTGGCATGGCTCATAAAAAACAGCAGGTATATCAACTGACTACCTATACAAAATTGTGAGAAACAGTTCCATGATGTAACTTGTAATTTTCATAGTTGTTCTGTAATTAAAATTGATGTTTATCTGCCATGCATTGTACTATTTTGACTTACTAAGAGCCAGCATATAGCAGCTATGGCATTGCACTTCTCTTCATTATTTTGTACAGGCTTCTGTTATGAGTTACTTATACAGGGTGCAAATAAATATACGTTACAACATTCTGTGGTAGATAGATGGGTTCAGTCTGATCATATTTTGTTAATACACATGTCCAGAAATGTTTCCATTTGGCGGTAAGAGTCACAAAATTTCTGAGGGGATGCTGGAGATGCTGAGTTTCCCTTTGCCATACCCTCTTTTTGCTGATAGAAGTATGTGACATGGAGCACAAATATAACCTGACTCAAGGTCGGCTTGAAAAATCAAAATTAGTCCATCATGCATACAAAGAAGGTCAAAATATTGTCACGTGACAAATAACTTCACACCGTCTTGGATCTAGCGAATTTATTGAACACTCGCTCTCACAATTACACCACTACTGCCATCTGCAGTATCACAATTACTTCTCCTGCTTCCATTCACTCCAGTGAATGCTAGTCTGCAACAGACTGGTTACTCTCTCGTAACTCAATACTCACTGACAAATACTCCTCTTATATAGCTTCCGCACTGACAACAGTTACATGATAGCTTTCACTGCCGCATGACACCATGTTTACAAAGGCTTTCCTGAGCAACACCGCATAGCAACCAGGGTGCTTCGGCTCGGCCCGGACAAAGACCGCTTTCCTTACTGTTGCGTAACTTGGCAACCGACCATTTATCGAGGGTCTGTCTTCATGGTAACTCGTTCCACCTCCCATTGCCCAGCAACAGTTAGGCATGTCACAATATGTTGGAATGAAGCAAATGTTTTTCAGGTCGAACCAAACACCACATACAGGATATACGAGGAATCCGCCCACATGTCTCTGATAGACCATCCAATCAGTCAACCAATCCTAGACATATCTCCCATCTGGGTTCCTCTTATCACAGCAGAAGTGCGGGGGAAAAAAAAACTACAACTCCATCCAATGTGGATTGAGTGGGAAAATTTGTGCTTTTTATGTTGGTACCATAGGGAAAATTTGTCTTGCCAGTGATGACTGTTGTTCTGATAGTTCTCTGGTGCAAGGCATCATATGTGTGGAGATTTTAATATTTTAATGTTTTGTCCTAGCTCTCACAGAAGGTTTGTGCTGTGCTTGGCTTTTATACCTTATATGGTGTTGGTACAGGTGTCCAGAGATAGGGACTAGCTCTGTTGATTGGACCAAAGTGAGTATGTTTTGCCTGAAGACAGAGACAGAATTCAGTCTCCAAAATGCTCTGTTTCTGAATAAAAACAGGACTGTGGTTTATGTTCAGAAACATAATAGTTGTATTAATGTACCATGTCACAAACTTTTATATGTTATTTGTTTTCATTGTAGTTTTCCTGGTACACCTGTGCTGAAAAGTATTTCCTTTTTTGTGTACATTGCAGGGATCAGGAAGTTTTAACAACAATTCTAGAAAGTGGAGCAGTTCCATACCTAGTAGACATGCTCACTGCAGAACATGCTGTTATGCAGAACGAGGCCCTCCTCGCACTTACTTTGCTTGCATCAATGAGACTGGCTGATGCTGAGGCAGATCTTCTTCAGGCTAAGATTGGTGACAAATTAGCCAAACTGATTAATGATTTTGGACCATCATTAGCATGTGAAATGGTACAAAATATCTTGTCATTAGTTAACAAGTTGGCAAATGCAGGTAAGATTTTTGGTTTCTTGTATCTCTTATTCATAATAGTCATCTTGAAATACACAGGGTTAACTTAATTTATGTTCATTATTCCTCAGGGTGCAGTTGGTCTCTCAGTTTTTTTTTGCAAGTGCCTGAGATCTCTTTGTGCCAGTGATTTGCATTCTCTTCTTTACTTTGGTATTCAGTGGGCTTTCATTATGTGTGGTTTGCCAATTTTGGTGGTCCTCAGGTTCCTGACTAATATTTTTGAATGTCATTCCTTCATGCCTGTGCTTACACAGTAATCAACTCCAAAATCCTGACTTCATACATGAAATTCTGAGTGTAAATATGATGTTCAGTTCATGGTAGATCCTTATTAAATGTTGTAGTTTCAGCTTATTTCAGGACCAAGTTCCAAATTCTGCCCAAGTTTAGTGACTGATAATGATATAGCATAATTAATAATTTTGTAGGGCTTAATGATAGAACCAATGAGGGGTCTGAGTTAAATGGCTGAGAGTTAGCATAAGTTATGCTTTGGTAAGCGGTGAAAAAATTATGGTCCCAGAGAACAGACATGTGTTATAGGTAGTATGGTCAGAGACCTATAGTTATTAATTCCGGTAATCCAAGGATGTTAGTGGCCCAAGGCACTAAAAATGTACATAAACAAAACTGATTCTGCACACACCACTTACGAAATATGCCCCTAATCACATTACATGACCCTGGGCTAAAAAAGTCAAGATGAGAGTTAAAATGGGTTTACTGAGACAGTGCAAGCATGTAGTGTCTGGCAGTAGTTAATTGATGCTTTTACTTAGCAGGTGGTTTGATGATTATTCTGTAACGCAAATATTTATATATATATATATATATATATATATATCCCCTCTCTTTCTTTGGGGGGTCATGCTGAACACAAAGTGACATCAACCATGGCTGATTGGTTGTCAGCAGACACTAATGGCAGTGGTCAATAAGTTAAATTATGATCAGATTATTACATTTTTGTATATTCTTTGCACAAAGTGCATAATTGGAAGGTTGCATCTCTATTTCAATTTTATCATCCATGAAACTTCTTTATTAGATTTTAATGAAATTTAATTTTAGGACTCTACAACAAAAATTGGTAACGAAATTCTGTTCTGGTTTACATGAGTCCAGTGTAAATGCTACTGTAATTTTGTTCATCTAAGTCAAATGTAAATCCTACTGTCCTTTGCATGAAACTCAAATTGATGTTCAGATAGTTTCCTCAAAACTTACCTTGGAAAGTTCCTGGACTAGGTCAAAAAAGAAATGCTGGCTTAACATAATAAAATAGTCTTGAGAATGTATATGGTGATCCCATCATATTTTCCACACTTCAAAAGCACCATGGAAGTCATTTTCCTTAATGCTGTTGAGTACCACTTGCAATTCGTTTTGGATGTCAGACACTGTTTCAAAATACCATCCCTGCAATTTCATTTTCAGTTTGGTAAACAACGAAATCAGGGGGGGCTAAGTCTGGCGGGTTGGGAGGATGGGAAAGGATAACCATGTTGTTGTTAGTCAGAAACTCTGTGGTTTTCAGAGACGTCTGTTTGGGTGCATTGTCTTGATGAAGGAGTCAGTTGTGGTTGCACCAAAGTTCCAGTCTTTTTTTGTTTCACATTTCCTCTCAAGCATCTCAAAATTTCACAGTAAAAGTCAAAGTTGACTGTAGTGTTATGAAGGACAAATTCACGGTTAACAATCCCCTTCATGTCAAAAAAACAATGAGCATGCTTTTTGTTTAACTCCAGACCTGCCGTGCCTTTTCTGCTCTTGGTGATTGTGGGCTCTTCCACTGTGATTGTTGCTGTGTTTCTCAATCATAACCGTAAATCCAACTTTCGTCACCCGTTCTGTTCCTAGAAATAAAAGTTGGGTCCACAATAGCATTCTCTCATAGCTCAAGACACATGTTTACACACAACTGCTTTTGATCATTTGGCAAGAGTTTGGAACAAACTTTGCAGCAGTGTGGTACATGTTCGAATTTTCTGTTAAGATCTCCTAGCAAACTCCATAACTGATTCCAGTAGTGTTTGCAAGCTCATGGATTGCTCGTCAGTGGTCTTGGTGGATGAGTTCTTGTATTTTTTTTTTAACATTTCCTGCTGTTTTGCTGGTGCTTGGTTTTCCTGAATGTTCATCATCTTCAACTGACACTTGACAAGCCTTGAAACATGAATGCCATTCAAAAACCGCTGTTTGGCGTAAAAGATTCACAAAGCATTTCAAGGTTTTCGGTAATGGATTTACCGAGCTTCACACAAAACTTGATGCAGATTCGTTGCTCAATTTTGCCGTCCATCGCAAATAAAATGAAACATAAAGTCTAAAAAGCACTCATATAGAAACAATGCATGTTCACAGCACAGTGTCACATGACAGACTGATACAATAGGCTTGTGGAAGTATGACCTTAGCCTCCCCTCTCATCTTCTTTCACCAAGGCAGTTAACAACAATAACAGTTTGGGAACTTTCCGATAGAACTTCATATAAGTCTGATCTTTTTGTTTTGTTGGATGTTCAGCAAAGTACTCTGTGTTATGTGTTATGCGATTAGCTTTGCAATATTAGGTTCTGTATCTGCTGTAAATGGACATACACTCAAGTGCCAAAAGTCATGGGATAGCAGTATGTAAATTTATTTTTAAGTGATGCCACCGTCCCTTGACGGCTTGCGAATGCCCAGAGCAGTATCATTTGTGAGGTGTTCTCTCGTGAGTCAGGTTGAACACCAGTCAGTCTGCTCATGGCAAGACAACATGAATTATCAGAGTTTGAACAGGGCATGATAGTGGGTGACAGGCAGATGGGACGTTCCGTTTCCAAAGTTGTGCGGTCATTCAACATTCCTCGATCCACGGTGTTACGTGTGTACCGGGAATACCTTGTGGAAGGCATTTCCACCCACCGTGAACAGCGCAGTGGCCGACCACAGGTGCTTAATGATCGTGACCAGCGGTGTCTAGCTAGAATTCTCCGTGGTGACAGACAAGCGACACTGGCTGAAATCACATCCACATTCAATACAGGAGGTACCAGATGCATATCCAGCAGGTCAGTGCAGTGTTCTTTAGCTTCCATGGGATATGGGAGCAGAAGACTGACCAGAGTGCCTCTGTTAACACCACGACACCAGACACAGCACCTCACCTGGGCTTGTGACGTCTCTAATTTGACCCTGGAGGATTGGCAACATGTGGCATGGTCCGATGAGTCACAGTACCAGTTGTTTTGCCCGGATGGTAGGGTTCGGGTGTGGCGCAGACCCCTTGAGGCCATGGACCACAGTTGTCAACAAGGCACCGTGCAGGCTGGTGGTGGTTCCATACTGGTGTGAGGTGTGTTCACATGGCATGAGTTGGGTCTGCTCATCCACCTAAACACGTCATTGACCAGTGACTGCTACGTTACACTGCTTGGTGACCATTTGCAGCCCTTCATGGACTTCATGTACCCCCAGAACGATGGGATATTCCAGCAGGACAATGCACCTTGTCATCGGGCCAAAGTTGTCCAGAATTGGTTCAAGGAGCATTCTGGAGAGTTCCGACAATTAGTGTGGCTACCACGTTCGCCCAACATGAATCCAATCGAGCATTTATGGGACGTGGTGGAGAGGTCCATTCGCACCCAAAATCCTGCACCTACAAATACCAGGGAGCTGTGGGTGGCTATCCAGACGGTATGGCTCAACATCTCTCCAGAGGTCTTCCATCCAGTTGTGGAATTGATGCCACATCGAGTTGCTGCACTTCACTGGGCTAGAGGGGGTCCTACATGATACTAGGTACCTATCCCATGACTTTTGGCACTTCATTGTATGTGCCAATGAGATATGTAAAATCACAAAAGAATGTGTTTGGGAAACACAATATGTGTGTTTTCAGTTTTTTCTGTTTACCCTTCAACTCTTGTCATTTCTGTTTTCAGGTGCTTTGCAGCATCATCTTGTTGATTGTGGTGTCAGTACAGCATTGTCTAAGCTTTCTTCGAAAGAAAATGTTACCAGCATAAGTAACCAGATAACTCGATTGACCTCTATGCTTGACTCTGGCTGAACATTCATGGAGTTGTATCTTGTTCAGTTATTTGCTTCACAATTAATTTGATTCTTTAATCCTTGTGATCTCATTATCTCAGTGTTTCAACATCCACTCATTTGAGAATAATCTTTTAATGATATAGTGCTTATGTGGGACTATTTTAAGACAATTTGCTGTTCGTCAGCTAACTTAAACTTATCGTTTTTAAACAACTTGTTTACATATTTATAAAATATGTATAATTCATGTTGTTATTAGTCATCATGAGCAAAAATTTGTACGTAATGTAGAAGCATCATATTGCTTTTTATTGCGTATGATATTCAGTTTCATATTGAAATGCTAGTTTACTGTTTTCACCAGCACATAAAAAGAGGAGACACTGTTGGAAAATACAGTAAGTTTTGAACTTGTTAAATATTGAAAAGCGGAAGGCTTTGTCTTTTGACATAAGCTGAGTCAGATCTTCTGGACTCGTACTGGAATATGTGACAGATAGAATGGTAATATGTGTTCAGAGTAGATAAATTATCCTTCAGTGTCTTTGAAGCTTCTCTTAAACAGATGAGATTTCATATCTTAAAATACATATTATGTAAAGCACAAAGCAAAAGGTTCATAAGACGTTAGAGATGAACTAAGCCATTTATATTTTTAGACAATAAGTTGGAAATGAAAAAACAATAACACAAAATACTGTTGCGTGTAGTTAACAGATATATGATGTAACTGTAATTTTATAGAAATTTGCTTATTGCCAGATCATTTTTTTATCTTGCACATTTTATTGGCCCCCTCGTTGGTCTGACAGATTACTGATGGATGGATTTTATTGGCTCCGTGGCTTTGATGCATGGGTAAGTGCTTGTGTATATATTCAAGAGAGAACAGAAAAGCAGGATATTATTTCATGTTGGTTTGAGTTTAAGCCTTTAAAGCACAGTAGTTTTGATACGTACCATCCGCTGTAACATTAAAGTACTGTGCGTCTTGCCCATATAATGTTATTGGTTTTGTAAGATTTGAAATTCTTATGGTTGTTCGTATCAAGATTGCAGTGTTCTTGAATATGGTACCATGTAATTCAGTAAGCAGGCCCCATCTTTGGAGGAACCTGCTGCCTCCATCTTAAAGGTACAAGAATGATCTCCCCTCCAAATGGTGGCAGCAAGTTCCTCTAAAACATTTGTACCTATCTTCCAGTCTACTTTGTAGCTTACTGTTGTGTTTGATTACAGTGATAATTTTTATTCACTTCTTTCAACAACAGTTTATACATCAACTTCAGGGTACAGATTGTGGCATGTAATTAATGCCACCACGAAACCATTTCACAAAAAAATGAGAAAGAAATTATAACATAATACCTATGATGGTAAAGCTTTTTTAATCTTGTAGAGAGAATGGACCCATCCGTATATAATTTATATTATATAAAGCTGCTAAATTATTTAAAACTGCAGTGTTGATGTCAGTTTGCATTAATACATCTTTTGTTATTGGATTTTTCTTTATGTTCTAAATTAATTTTTATGAGCTGGTCACTATATGCGGAATGGCAATGTAGTTTCCACTTTCAACCTTCCCACAGAGAGGGTGATAAACAGATCTCCATTCCTTATTTTGTGATCAACTTTATAGAAGAGTACTGTCTTCTGGGGTGCAGTGCCGTGTAGTCTGGTAGGTGATCACCAATATTTTAGAGGTACATGTACTGAACTACATAGTGTTATGTCCCTGAAGGCAGTACTCTTCACAGTCACTGCTATGAGAACCTCAAATCCAACAGAACTTCAGAGAAGTTCACCTAGAATATAAAGCAGCACAAACCCAGTAATAAGAGATATATCAATATGAACTCAGAGAACTTTTATTTTAATAGTCATAATAATTTAACAGTTTTGTAACATATCCATTTTATATTTGTGATGCTGTAGCTCAGGTGATTTGTAGCTGGAAGGTCGATTAACATCACGAGGTTGAGTGGACCCTGTTCCAGACCCACTGCTTCTAAGAAAAAATCTGGTAGCGCTGGGAATTGAACCCAGAACGCTGACCACTAGACCACAGAGACAGTCTTTATTTTTCCCATGCTGATTATAACTTCACAATTACTCATATTCATCCGTCACTGCCCCCCAAGTTGTCTGTAGTCATGACCAGCAGCATATTATCACATCTCAATCTTTAAATTTGGGGCTCCATTTCTAGTGTTTCATTTGGCTGGTTTCAGGTAAGGAAGTTTTTTAAGTTATTAATTTTACATTCTGGATAAGGCATGATCACACATAATGTCATATATGAATTTGCCCATCCTCTCCATGTACTTAAAATCACTGTAATTGTGTATTAAATAATAATTTCTATTTCATTTTTATGAAAAATCAGTCAGATGTTGATATTCATAACATGCTGAAACATGTAACCTGAAGTTGTGATATATATTGTGGTGTACAGACCCATTGCTAAGCAGTGACTCTGTAAACATTGGTTGTTGCTAGATAACACCCACAACATATATTCACGCAACAATAGAAAAACAGTCTTTTCTGTGTAGTTTGCACCATGACTATTGCTATGGATTGGCACGGTGAGTGCACCTCTACAACAATAGAGGGGCTGTGCTTCCTGCATGGTCCATGCTGAGGAGTTATCTTGAAGACACTTTGCTCTGCAGTTTAGTTGAAAGTTAAGTTGTGGAGTATTAAGCAGTGGGCAACAACATAACCACAAAAGCTTAAGAATCTCCACTGTCAAGATTCATTACCATGAAAGCATTGTGGAGGAATAACAATTGTTGAGAGCTGTTACCAAGTAATGACTAGTGAAAACAGAATGAGAAGACTTAGCATGGAGTGATTTGTAGTGTGGAAGTCATAGGCATTTGTAGTTACAACCTGTAAGTAATGAATACATGTATTCACCACTTGAAACCCCATCACTCTAAATCGTGACAATATGCTGATGCTGACAGAAGTGAATATATATATTAGACTACATGGAGTCATATCCCAAAGACCATAATCTTGAAGAAAATTGTAGAGGATAGGTCATTACAGAGACATGAGAAACTGTATTTATAATTAGTAAGATACTTTGGGACACCAAAGTATTTTTCAAATTACAGAATTGTTCATCATAAAGGCTACAGCTTTTTTGTCAGTCCTCTGACTTAAGAGATACAGCTGCCACATATGTTCTCATATAGGAAAGTAATGTCCTCTAGTGCAGTAATGGTTGGGGATCTGTCTACATTTTACATTTTATTCATAAAACAGTGTAGTTTCTGTTATTTTACAGCAGCTATCCAGTGGGATTCCACAATATTCAGACACCCTTTTCAATGACGTGATATTCAGTGAAAGTAATTAACATTTTCTCATACTTAATTTTCAAGTCCCACAAATAGTCTTTTCTTATTTCTATAAATTTTCACTTTACTTTCTTGAGAGGCAAAGTCACATATATATTTATGTATGGAGAACATGACCAGGTATTGTTCCCTGCTTGTTATTCATTCATGAGGTGTAGTCTTTGAATTCTTTTCAGAGTATTTTCTAATGCACTGTCCTGGAAAGACATGAAACACATTTCTTCTTCAGTTAATTGTTCAAAAAAAAGATACTGAAATGTAGTTCATACAAGTCTTCAGGGGTTGTTAAAAAATGCTCCAAGAACTGATACAAGTGGCATAGTGGGAAGGAGTGCTAGAAGTAATCTCATCAAAATTTTCACAGTGTGTTTGTAGTCCTGACAGAATGTAAATTTACAGCATGTCTACATACTTGTCTCCTGTTACTGTGCCTGCAGAACAATATGGTCCCAGTATTCTGAAGGAAGAGGTGCTACCACAGATTCTTACTCCTGATTAGTTCAATTGAGTTTCCATTGTGATATCTGGGATTTCTGTACACCATGACAAATAGTCTGTTTACATGACCATGTTAGTTTAAAACTTGCTTTTTAAGTCCAGTTTTTTAATGATTCAAATAGGGTTTCCATCCAGTTTATTTAACATGAAATCACAAAAGTGAAGTCTGCAGTCAGGATCTACTCCTAGAAACCCATGCCCCATGAACGTATTGTTTAAATATGGCTTCACGTAATATCCATTGAACTAACCATCTGGAAAGTCTCTGCTCCAGAGCGCATGTGTGAGTAAATTTCCTAGGACTTCAGATTATTGCTTGGAAAATTAATGATTTGTTTGCCTCCAACCTTGCTGTTCTGTCTCTGTCTATTCTCAGGTAATCAGACTCATTAATATGTTCTTCAAATTAGTGATGCAGACTGCACTTGACCTTACTTGTTGATGGACCTCAATCAGTATGTTCATGCCATTTGCAACAATCACTTCAAAACGACCTTTATACCACCTATTTAAAGCAAACCCCTGTTCTTGTTTCATTAAGATAATCACACATGAGAGACACAGTACAGGGCAGAAGAGAACAAAAAGGTCAAAGAAGCATCATTACACTAACTAGCATACTCTGACCAGTAGCTGGCAGGAAGCAGCTGTTAAAAGCTGTTACCATGTCCAACAGTGCAAAAGCCAACCGATAAGCTCCAATGGGTAGTGACTTTTGCACCTCGCAGTATTTATTTCCTTCGCTTTATTGAATCCCAGTTCACTTGGACCAAAGAAAAAAATGTGTTGGCAATGTATCTCAGTCTGCATGTTTCTCGTCATTAAGCATAAGTCTTGTTTTGCACAGAAGACTGCAATCCCAGTAAACTATTTATGGATTGTTTGAGATTTGTATTTCAGTATTTGTTCTGTGTTTCTTTAAATTTAGAATGATAAAGATCTTAACCTTGAAATGGAAGGTACCTGGTTCAACTTTATCGTGACAGGCTTTTTTTCTAATTTTTTGCTCTCTGAGTAACTGCTGAGTTAGTAACCAGAATTAGGCATGATTGTATCCTTAAAACTCCTTGCCTCTTCAACATTCAGGATTTTTCCCCTTCCTTTTGATCCTACCTAACACCTGTATTTGAAATAGCTTTAAATAACCAAAGAATCAGTAAACAGTAACCTAATAAAAATATGTGGCAAGATACATTTTTATCTACTATGGTTTCTTCTTTCCCCATAAAAGAACCCAAAATGCAGGTTTTGTGGTGCAAGTTCTGAAAAGTAGTTTATAAAATTGGATTACCCAATGGAGGCACATAAGTATAATGATATAGTTAGTTTTGTGGTGCTTCATATAATGATCATATTATGCTCAAACATAAAATTTATAACTTAATACTTTTTTGTTATAATTAGGTACCATATTATATCGTTGTAGTAATTTTATATTGTACGAATTTCAGACATTGCACTTTGTTTGAAAAACATTTTTTTAATATAAATTACATTGTTTTGAAATAGTTAATGGTTACTCATTAGAAGTGACCAGACTGATTTAGACTGGTGACTTTGTTATATCCACTATTTTTCATAGTTCATTCAGTGCATAAGAGAGTTTTTTTAATGTAGAATAATAGATTTTTTTATCTAGGCTTTTGTATTTATGAAAAAGTAACAATGTTTTAGTTCTGCACAAATATTGCTCTTTATATACTGTCTTATTAACTTGGTATAAGCTTTAATATTATAGGGTATAAAATTCTAACATAGGATATAAAGAAGGTATGTACTATTGGCATAAACTACAAACACTTGATGCCCAAATTTAGAGGTGAACACAATACAGTTTTCAAATTTATATAATTCTTTTATTGTTTGTATATTATGACAGAACTATCCTCTTTAAATTGAATGTAACATGATTTGCTATCAGTTCTTCTCTTCATCCATATAAGGATTCCATTCTTAAAGTATGCAGAAGGGGTGCTGACAACAAGGAATCTGTTTTAGGGACTTTAAACAGTAGTGTTAATGATGACATGTAAGAGATACTCTATCAAATAAAACTTCTGCACTCTTTTATTTATAAATCTGAAAATAGGGCAAAGGAGTGCAGGTTAATGTAGTGTGTCATTTTTAAATGGTTTGTTTTTCATTACCTAAGGTGATGGTATGTGTGCATGCTTACTGGTTAACATCAGCACTGGGTATGAAATTCCAAATACAGTAACCATAATTTGATTTCTCTATCTTAGGTATTGTCATACTACAATATAAAAATGTGTTTAACATCAGAACTCTTGCCTGTCATGAATGTGTATTGTTAATGTCTTGCAGTAAATTTATGATCCAGCAATAACATTCAATTTAGCTCAGGGTATTGGACGTGTGCATAGATGGTCATCAGGTTGATTTGTAGTTAAGTAAAACATTTACTGCTTGCAACTGAAAATATGCCATAGACCATCATCATGTCACCATCTTTTTTGGAAGATTTTATTAAGTAAGTACAGATTTTGCTTAGGTATTTTTGCCAGATATAATCTCAAAGTTATGCACCATTGATATGTTTGTATTTATTGATTGGTTAATGGTATATCATATACAATTTATAGGTATGTTCATGCTCTGTCTCCACACCAGATTCCACATTCTTATCCCCACTGATTCATTACTTATTGCCATCAGACAGAAAACAATATTTTTATTTCCTGCAACTACCATTTTATCATTTTACATTCTGCAAAGAAAAAATCCATGATAAATTTTTCATATTATCAGAGATTAGTTACTATTTATCATATAAGGTCTTTATACATGGTGCTAATATTGCTCCCGGGTCACTAGTTCACGCATCCAGAATTTTGTTATTACTGAGTGCAGGAAGGCAATATTCATGAGATTAGGGTGGCTGCCAATGGTGTAACTAAGTTTCATGAAAATCACTGAACTTTTTCAGAAGTTTTAAGGGCAGGCCAACAGATACATACATACACACACAGCATGGTAATCTCATAAGCCACTTCTTTTTCCTTCAGAAAGGGAAGTACATAAAGTAATGGGCAGATAATATCTAAGTGTCTGTCCATACATTTCAGCTTTGAAACTACTGAATTCCTTTCTATATAAAACTTTATGTGAGTCTTCAGTGAAAGTTGTCAGATAAATATGTAGTTACTTCATTACAGCTCTACTTTACATTAAATAAAGATCAAACATTGTTAGTATTATCAAAAATTGCTCATCATATAAAAACATTGTCATATAATACGGCTGTCATTAACATGTAAAATTTTTATTTTGAACATCTTTGAACCCAGTGAACATTTAATGAAATACAATGGAAATAATTTCTGACATACCATGTCACGGTAGTGTGTTTCACTTTATGTCAGCGGATATATGTAGGGCAGTCAAAAAGTTCCCGGAATTCCCCTGCAGATGGAGAACGAGGGATAAGATAGCACACACACTGTTGTGGTGGGAAGCTCAGCATGTCTGCTCACAGGCACAAAAGGTCTGGACAGGTTTCAGTGTGCAGTGTCATTACTGTTCCGTTTGAATTAGACATGAGTGTTGATCATTCGGCACAATGTCGCAGTTCGAACAGCATGTGAACATCAAGTTCATGTGCAAATTGGGAAAATCTGCTTCAGAGATGCCATCGGCCCTGCAGCAAGTTTACAGTGATACTGCACTAAAGAAATCCGCAGTTTACGACTGGTTTTCCCAGTTTAAGAATGGGCAGGAGATGTTAGAGGATGACCAGTGCAGTGGGAGACCTTCGACATCCAGAACTGAAGAAATGATTGGAAAAGTGCGACAACTGATTCGATGTGATCGAAGAATGACCATCACAGAGTTGGAGCAAGAAGTTGGTACTGTTACTGGCCTTCTACATGCAAGTTTTGCAGAGGTTGCACGATGCGGTTCGGAGGAAGCGGTGCGTCAAGTGGCAGGGACAGTGGTTTCTGCATCACGATAATGCACCAAGCCACACATCGCGTGTTGTGCAGCAATTCGTCACCAAGAAAAACATTCCTGTCATCACTCAACCACCATACTCTCTGGATCTCGCTCCGAGTGACTTTTGGCTGTCAAGAGTCTCAAGGGTCTCAAGAGGACAAGTTTCACAACCATGGAAGAATATGACGGCTGAGCGCCAGAAGGTTCCAAAAGAAGCCTTCTACCACTGCTTCCAACAATGGCAGGATCGATGGAGCAAGTGTGTGTGCGCGCGCAAGGGTCCTACTTTGAAGGTGATTAGGTAAGTGTTGCCGTATGCCCTGCCATTAGAGTGCTATACCACCATTCCAGGAACTTTTCGACTGCCCCTCATATATCTGCAGTAAGTGAATGTCAAGGCCAGTGGAGTACACCTTTCACCTCATGTTCTGTTTATGTAACAATAATTTAATATGTATATAAATAAGGTACAAATTTCATATGGCACTTTTTGTATCTTTGTAAAAGTATAGTCAAACCAGATCTTGCAGTGTAATGCTGCTAGCTTTCTGAGTTACAATTTCAATTACATATTTAAAAATTCATAATAAAATATTACGAGAATTTATGTAGCCATTTGAATGAAGGTTGTTTCTTACCCATTGTACTGTTTCTTTTTTCCTTTTACTACACCCTTTTTAGTGCTTTCTTTATACTTTTCTTGAATTACTGAAGTAAAAGATGAATGTCATATGTTCATCTCTTTGGAGTGTACACCATTAAGACTTTAATACATGTAATTCATATTTCTAGCCTGATACAGGAAATCAACAAGTAGTAAAATTTAATTTAACCTCTTTGAGTGCTGAAAATGAAATTGTATTTATAAATGCTATTCCCCCTCTCATACTTAAATATGTTCATACTGTTAAAGAGCACTGATTGAATGAGTTCTATCTTCTTAAAATATAAATGTACTCAAACCCAGTCTTGGTGTCCTATGTTACTGGTCTCTTTGAATAAAGCTTGAACAGATTAAGAAAATTATATTCAAAAGTTTGTAAGAAATTGTTTGGAAACTTGATTCTTGTTCATTGTTAACTGCTCTTCATTTGTGAGTTTTCAGTAATGTGAGTTGTGAAATACATAAGCAAAAAAAAATTGTTGTTGTGTTTGGTACTTGGCATGGAAAGGATTTAATGAAAAATAGTGACATGTAAGGTTATAGTTTACATGATAGTGACCATGAAGATTACTGACAACTGAGATGTGTCATCATCTAATCCCATAGATATTTCAGAGGAATATTCTGCCTCCATGTATCTTCTACCCTGAAGGTGGGGCACCACACTCCTCCAAAACATCTGTAAACATCTACCACACTACAAATGATCATATCCCAAAGACAGTAATCTTGATAGTGTCATGTCATCCATTTCTTATGGACTGCTTGTACACAAAACCAATCTAGGATGTCATGTGCCTACTTTTGTCAGCAGTTCTAATGCTTGTTTAATTGCTGTCTAGCATCTTGGTGCTAAATTTCAAGAGCCAAGATTGCATTCAACTTCCAAGTTATAAAAATGGAATCAAAGTAAAGGCAAGCCATATGTTGAGATATCCAACTCTAAAGCTTAAATACAACAATATTTAATTTAGGTTTCATCATTATCTACACAGTAAACATGCAAGTATACCTTTTAAATGAGCATTAAGGTAAACAATAATTCCTAATTAATTAATAATAATAAATTAATTTAATCCACATTTTTATTCTTATGCACAAATTTTTTCCTGTTACAATAACAGCAATGTAAAACCCATTAATAGTGAGTAGTATGTTGCTCTATTGTTATAGCAGCCTGTTTCATAACAGTATGTGTGGCTGCTGATAGATAAGATTAATTAAAATTCAAGATTCTGTGGAAGTTTAATATGTTCTGCTAGACTGGGATAGCACAGTCAGTATAGTGACTGGCTATGGGCTGGCTCACCATGAGGTGAGAGTTAAAGTCCCGGGGGGGGNGGGGGGGGGGCAAAAATTTTCACTTTTCCATGTCATCCAGACTGCCTCTGGGGCCCAGCCAGCCTCCTACCCAATGGGTACCAGGGGCTCTTTCCCCAGAATTCAAGCAGCTAGGGCATGAAGCTGACTGCTCACCTCTGGCTAGTGCTGAGGTCAAGAAAACATGGATCTATACATCACTGCACCATACATCTTCATGGCATAGTACTTAAATAGTTAGGCACAGGGTCAGCTTACATTTATGCCTGCAAGAGCATTACCACGAGCCATAAAGATTGAAACAGTGCACATAGTTTTATGAAATTGAGTGTATACCTCTGATGGGTAATTAAATCCATGTGCCGTTTCATTACAAGAAACTGGAGCAGAATGATTATTGCCAGATGGGAATGCCAAATTATAATAATACCGGTAATAATAATGTACTGTACTCATAATAATGGTAGTAATAACAACAGTGCTATGAAAAATATCTTCAGCCTTACTTAACCTTTTCCATGCTTACTGTACATAAGATTTTTTCCTGAGAAATAGCCATTTCGGTACCAAACCTTCATACTAAATTTACCTTGTACAATATATACAAATGAAACGAATTTTTGAAAAGAAAACACAGCATGGAAAGAGTTAAAATAGAAATTTCACCTATGTGTTGTGCTTTCAAAGACAAAAAAAATATTTAATATTTCAAAGGCTATTGAATATTATTTGTAAATTACATTTCCCCATTGTGATAATAAATGTAGAACTAGGAAATTTCATACAGCAGTTGTTAACCTCAAATGAATACTTTCGAATTCCCCATTTCAGGTATTTCTGTTAGACATAGGATTTGAACCTAAACGAGAGAAACTTAAATTGGGAACACCGATTGGGAATTCCGCTGTAATCGCTATATGGCTAAGATTCATAGCATTGGTTTTCACACATTTTTGTTTTCCCAAACTTTATTTCACACGTTGTACTTAGAAGTATCATATGTGCCTTGTTCAGAATTATGAAGCTGACCACTCACCTCAGTCTAGTGCTAAGTTTAAGAATGCACAATATTATGCTTCCTTTCCCACATGTCTTCATGGCATAAACCAATTGAATTCAATCCTTACAC